GCCCGCGCAAACTCCCCTGCCCCTTGCAATGACACGCCCTTGAGCATTGCGCATGCCCAGATCACGGGGAGCAAACTCCCCTGCCCCTTGCAATGACACGCCCTTGAGCATGGCGCATGCCCAGATCACGGGGAGCATGACATGCCCGGGCACGTCCCAAACAAGGCCTAACCCCCCCCTTTTTTTACTAGCAGACAGAGAGGCATGGCTGCTTGCTGCTTGCCTCTTGTGAGCCTGGTTGGCTGCTTGCCTCTTGTGAGCATTTTAATTCCTGTTAATATTCCTTTTCTTTTGCTATAGTGGGGAGGGGGGCAGAATAAATTTTATTCAGGGTGCAAATGGCAAAATATGTGTCTTTAGATTTTTTACAAAGGTAAAAACCAGCTGTGGGTTTTAAAAGGGGCTGTGTTTGTTTGTTTTTTCCCCTGCATTCGAGGAAATGCTTTTAAAACCACCTAGACATAAATACCTTTTAGAAAAAAATATCTTTTAGAAAAAAGGGGTTAAATGCAGGCTCTGGCTGCCTTTCAGGGGCTTCTTTTTCCCCAGCTTTTGAGGCACTGATTTTTAAAAATCCACAAAAATTAAAAGCATCGTTAGGCTAGAATGATTAGAAATAAAAAGCCTTTTTTTATTTTTTATTTCACAGCTCCCCAAAGTAGGGCTTGTTTCCCAAAAACACAGGCCTCTGCTAATTATTCACTTAGCTCTTTGGGGTTTTGAATGTCCATAGAAATAGTCTAGGGTTAACAGCTCCCCAAAGTAGGGCTTGTTCCCCAAAAACACAGGCCTCTGCTAATTATTCACTTTACTTAGCTCTTTTTGGTTTTGAACGTCCATAGAATTAGTCTAGGGTTAACCTAATCATGTACCCAGAGGATTGCCTGCCAATCTTGATGGTATTAGGCCAAAACGTCACATCCGGAGGGTGGGGGCTGAGCACGTCACTTCCTTTTAGGGCTGTGCCCTGTTGACGTAATCAGCACGTGGGTTTGTTTACTTTGATGACGTCACTGATCAAAAGTGCTGATAATTTTCATTAAAAAAAGGTATACACTACTTCTACTGATGTGTTGAATATGTTTCTCACCTTGAGTTAATTGTAAAAATAATGAAGGTGGAATACAGATACCATGTTACATTTAAAAATTTTTTTAAAAAAATATTACATTAACAAATACTTAGAAATTATGGCAAGCAATTTGACAAACAGAATCTAAAATCAATAGAAAATTATTCTCAAAATGTTTAAGTGCCTTTGCTAACGCTAAAATTAAATTAACACTTGGCAAAAACTTTTCAAACTGATTTTATGTACTAGTGCACTATTCTATTAATCCTTAAAGCTGTTTGGCACTGTGGAGAACTGAAATGTTTGTAAGTGCTTTTAAATACATTAGCATTTTCTGCTTCTTTTGCATATTGTAGACAGAAAGAAATGAGCCAGTCCAAACACAGGCTGTTCCTGAAACTCATATTTTCAATACTTTGAACGTGTCTTCTCCCAATGGATTGGTACTTACCTTTATTGGTCAAAAATTTGCAGGTTTGTTAAATAAACATTTTTTTTACAAAAGAAATTGTGTTAATGTTCCATCAGGTAATGAAAACTCTTATGTTACTTCCTGAGTACACAAGCTTTTCAGTCCACACAAAAAGAAAAAGCAATATTAGCTTTAGTGGCTAAAATATCCTTTAGTAAGCATATTGAAGGCAAACAGGAAATATAGTAAACTTAAGATGAACTGGGATCTACTCAGGTTTTTACTTCAACTATATAGGGATGGTGACATATTTTCTACCAAAGCTCTGGATGGGAACCTACCCCAGTTCAGCTAGAATGAATTTACATCTAAGGATATCTGAATCAGGGAAAATTCACTTTTTAATCTTCTAAATCAGACAGAATTCTGGGATGATTTTCCCTGCAATAAAAAATGTTCATATCCATTTTATTTTTACAGCATATATACATGTTCCCATACTTAGTTGTTTAATTTCCCAGATAACTTTTTAACAATATGAAGCACTCTGTTTTCAATCTTTGATGCATCAGTTTCCCTTTTAAATGAAGTTTTCATCCATGTAACCTCACTTCAAAGTATAACTAAGACTTTCAGCAAGATACCTGTGTCAGAGATACTTCTTTAGGTTGCAGATTTAAGATTGGGAAATGCTGAATAGTAGTTGGACTCCATTTGATGCTACCATTCCTCCTGTTGAAAAGACTTTATTTGTTCCTAATACAGTAAAATCTGTGGTGGCATTCTGCTCAGTTTATGGTAACAAGTATAGCTAATGAAACTAATGGTAAAGGTATTAATTTGCAGGATTAAAATATATATAAATAGATCATTTGTAGCGTTACATTTGAACTGCTGCCTTTCCTCTCTGACTAACCTTTCATACGAAGAGGTATAAGCATAAATTTGGGTCAGTATCTGTATTGTTCTTACTGGGTTTCCAGTTTTGACATTTTGTAACATTGGTGAGGTCCACAAGTTTCCATAGACAACTGTTACTATAATAATTTTAACCGATTAACAAAATTGTTTTGCTATGTAAAAGGTGAAGAAAAAGGAGAGAAAGACAAGAACGATGACGAAGAAAGCAAAACAGATGAGACTAAATCAGGTGAAGTCAAGCTGGAAGAAATCAAAACAGAGGACAGCAAAGAAAAGCAGATTCAGCCCCACGAACCTTTAGCTAAAGACAGTCGAGAAAAGACATTCAATGCTAAAGCCAGTGTTGAGTCTGGAGCAGATCTTACTGTCAGGAATGAGACTGCCAGTGACAGCAAGGCTGAGATGGAAACAGAGGATAACAATATGGTCAAGGAATCTCCTTTTGAAATATTTATTAGGCAGAGCTATCCACAAAGAGTAAAACAGTCTCAACTTCACAAAATGGTGAAGAAACCAATAGAGCAAGAAGTATCCAGAGTAATAACACGACAAGGGACTGTTGTAAAGTACATGATAGATGGATCCACTCAGGTATACTTATATTCGTTTAGCTTTGAATGTAAAGTTCACTTTTTATTACTGAATTAAATCCCAACTGAATCATAACATCCTAATTAAGTAGACCACCTCAAATTATGACAACCTGTGTTTGAATATATATCCCTGCATGTTATGTTTTTTCTGTAAATTATTTTTCTCTTAGCTTAGATGCACATGGAGAAGCCATTGTGCTTTGCTAATATTTTCAAACGGTTTCAGTCATTTTTCAGTATGAAACGTGGCCACTGAGGAAGTTTAATTATTGAGTAGATTTGAAATCTATAAAACTGTTTCATCCAAATGTAAATATAAGTCTGTAGAAATGTTAAATCCAAGTATAAAACTTTGTTGAATTCTTTACATGTTTTGGTAATTTTTTTAAAACTTGAACATAGTATTGTATCTGCTGTTCTGCATATCTTTGTAGCTGATCATGTTTTCCTTTGCTGTTTTTAAGATACTCTTTGCTGATGGCACGGTGATTAGGAGTCCCGATTCTGGCCCTGTGATCCCACCTCCACCTGCACCCAGCACACCTCATACAGAGATCACACCAACTCCGGAGACAAGCAGCAAAAAAAGCAGTAAGTCATATAGTCCAGGACTGAAGAAGAAGTTGAAGTTGAAGAAGTCAAACAAACAAACAAATCTTATTGAGTAAAATAATATAATGTTGTATAATTATAGTGCTTTGTGTAATATATAATTTATATCACATTGTTCTGTAGGGCATCCGTAATGCAAAGAATCATATTCAATATTTGTGCCTTTATAAAAAATAATGTCACATATTCTCAAACAGCAGTAAGATGCATTTATCCAGTACTATTCCTTCTCAAAGAAATAGGCTGACAACTGAAAGGATAAAAAAAAAAAAACCTAGATACCTCAAGAATCCTTGGAAACAAATCTTTTCGTAAAAGTCCATCTTGAGTCTGGAAGTCAAATTCTTCCAGATCAGAATCTAAACTGTCTGTGAAAAATAATGATTTTCTTTTTTTGCTCTTGATCTATCATGGAGCCATAGGATTCCATGGAGCTGAAAATCTCTGGTCTAAGTTATGATTTTCTTACAAACAATTTCTGTGTCTATATCCTTTATTTTAGGAGTAGGTATGCTTTAAGGAAAAAGAGTTCTGTATTTTGACAATCAAAGAGTAACCATGAAGGAGTAAGTCTTCCAATGTCCACATTTTGTGGCTAGGTAGTTATTGGAAAAATATATGCTGGCACTTTAGCTGTCCTTCACACAATGAAGTTCTTAGAATGTTATCCAAGTGTATGAATAAATGTTATTTTTTCCTGTTATTTTCTAGGAAAAAATACTAAAGGTCTGCTTGCAGGAAAAAATGAAGCTATTGAAACAATTGCCCAAGAACATCTGCCTGAGCCTGAACAATCATCCACTGATGCCTTTGCTGGCACCTGGATAACGACTACCCCATTAGGCATTCAGATAGGCACCAAGGGAACCGAAAAGCTTGACCTGAAACCACTCTTGTCTTACCAGGCCACTGATCCAGTTAATGGAACGGTACTGTTTCATTATCCTGATGTCTTTATAAGTGATACAATCCATTTTCACAACTTAAAAGATCAAATTACGTTTCCAATGTTTGTATTAAAATATTCTGACATGTTTGTTGAGCATTTAATCCATTTGTGACACTTCATTAATAATTTTCTATTCTAGGTAATGGTAATGAGAGAAGATAAAGTATTAATAGTGGAGAAAACAGATGGATCCCGAATAGTAGATCATGCCGATGGCACCAGAATAAGCACCCTTTTCCAGGACTGTGTAGAAATTGTTTCTCCTAATGACAGTGAAGAAGCAGGTAGATAGTAGTAGATAATAGTATGTTGATAATTTCAAATACTTGTGGCTTTAATTTCTCATTACTTTATTATATTTCTAAAAATATAAATGTAATCACTTTTCAGTGATTAAGTGCAGCTAGTTCATTTCTTTATATATATTCTTCAATTAAAATTGAGGCTATATCTAAGATTAGTCAACAAGAAAAATTCCTGGCTTTTCACTTATTCTTGCAGATGTGGTGCATAAATAAATCACATTGAGAGCTATATCTATTACGATCCGTCGTAGCAGCTTTCTTCGTACTAAGCTTTTGCCAAATATTTATGGTGATCAGATTCCCCATGATCAGATTCTCTTATTTGCAACATGCAGAACCTAATGGTGGGCAAAAAACTTCCAGTTTCATTTGAAATTAAAGCTGACAATTATTAATTTGGGAACTCCTTTTTTCCTAATTTTTTAAAAAAATATTATTAAATGTCTTCCCCCATAGCACCTCGCAAGTATGTGGCTGGGAGATAAGCAGGGAAGTATTTCAGTAAGATTAAAATTCAAACTGGATAAAAACCTCGAGCATCTACTTATCTACTTATTTTACAGATCAGGGAATTCAAACTACAGTAAGCTGTTTTACATACTGATTTGTCTGTGCGAAATATTTCACACAGACAAATCAGTATGTAAAACATGTGGGTTAACACATGCAGATTAAAATATGCAGGTTAACATGCAGGTTAATATTTGGATCAAATTAAAGAACTTATATACATTATACTGCACGTGTGCATACACACACAAACATGCATGATTTTTATTCCATTGTCAAGATCAGTTGCAGGAAGCAGTTAATCAGGCATGGGTTTATATTATTCCTTTTAACTTTATTAAATATTGTTTTACTGCTATAAATAGGAACAAAATAAAGGAAAAAAACATACAAAAACAAAATATACTATAAAACAATCAAATACTATGCCATATTTTAAATCTTTACCACATGGAATCACATTTGACATTTTCCATTTTGCACCTATAAAGAACCACACGAAGGCTGAAAATAAATATACTTCTTCAATTTAGAATTTTTTATTCATACCTTATGTATTCTCCGTGATGCCTCAAAATTGACATATCCATGATTTCTCATAAATTAACAAATTCCAAACAATTTACATATATGATTGCACATGAGGTTCATATCTTTAAAACCTAATTTTCTTCTCAATACCTTATGAATAAAAATATAAATATTAAACAAGAAAGAGACAATCAAAGTGCAGGTCCAAATAATATATATTAAAGTTCAGGGAAATCTGATTATTTTTTTCTTTCATATTGTATATTCAATAATCCAGTCCTAAATATAGTAAGTAAGTAAATAAGAAAGATTGTTGTAACTATAAATCGTAACATAGGAATGCCATAAAACACAATAAAACCAGTGCTTTTTTATTAAAAAAAAGAAAAAAGGTGCTGGAACTCAACACATCATACAACCCGCCTTGCCTACCCTACAAGGTTCCATCCCAAAAAGGTGCCGGAACTCCGTTCTGGGTGTTCTATGAGAAAAAAAAAAGTCCTGAATAAAACTATAGAGTAACAAATATATTAGATCTAAAAAGGTCATAATACAGTAAAGTCAAAGTTACAACTAAGAACTTAAATATTTCTTTCTAAATGATAGTAGAGCAAAAAAGTAGCAACTTGTTTGCTGACAGTTGGAAATATATCTACAAAGGAGATAATTCAGTTTTTCAAGGTCAGAGCCCTTGAGTTCATTTACCATTTGACCCTGATTTGATTGAAAATGAGGCGGTGGAAAATATAATAGATACTGTCCTCCACTTGGCCAGCACTACAAGGACAGAGGTATTGTTTGACAGGGAGCTTACAAAATCTTCCTTCAAAATATGTGTAGGGCAGATAAAGGGATGTTAAAATCTTTCTCAATGAAACACTGGTTATGTTAACTGGGTACTGGAGAGGTTTCTGTGTGTTTATAATGATAAAATCAAGGTGAAAAATTACACTGGCGTTTTTATTAGCATTAGCATCCTTTTCAAAAAAGGCAATCTAATGTTTTCTCTGCTCCAAGATCTAAGTTCTCCCAATGGCGGTAAGGAATACATTTGTAGAATGGGTAACAAAAGTTCTAAATATATGTTTTAAAACTATCCCAAGCAATCGTAAAATTTGGTGATTGCTTATTGCTATTTTTTTAAAAATGCACACTCTATATCTCCCCAGCCATCTGCCCACTCTCACAGGCCCAGCAGCAGCCTCCCCACCAGCCCAACCATGCTCAGGCTGCACCTCCTCAGCCATCTGTGCCTGCTCCAGTTCCCATCGTTAACAAATTGAACAAATGAGAAGTTCTCCAAAAGCATTATTTTATCACAGCATTTCTCTCCAAACGATGGACTATCCCTTCAATAATTCTAGATCATTTGGATTATAGTCCAAATAATTAAATTAGCCTTTTTGAAAGAGAACTTTTGCCTTCTTTCACAAACATACTTTGTTCAATATGAATGCTTTTTTAAGATGAGTTGGTTTTTCTTTTATAGACAGTTACCCTCAAACCACCACAAGGAAGGTGAAATGCATGCGTATCGAAAATCCACACTTTGCAACAGTCCTAACAAACTCTGAGGACAGCACTTGTTGTGCCATTTTTGCTGATGGCACTTCAATTATATCCAAGCCACAAGGAACATATCAGGTTAGTTGGAAATTAAGATCTGTCAAAAGTTTCATTCTTTTTATCTCAGAGATCAATTTATCTCAGTGCTACCAATTTAAGTAAAAACAGTCTAACCATTACTATTGAACGCAATTATATGCACCTGAAACTAATGCTGGAGAAATGATTATTCTAGAAAGGGAAAAGCACCAAAAAAAAGAGTGAGAGTTATACTAAATAAGTAATCACTCCTGATTACAGTCAGGCTTCCTATAGTGCAGTGATGGCAAACCTTTTAGAGACCGAGTGCCCAAAAAGTGGCCCCGCCCCCGCTCCATCCCCCACTCCGTCCCCACCTGCCTGCAGAGCCACTCACCACCTCCAGGGCTCGCTGCAGATCGCCCAGGCAGCCCAGCAGCGCAGTGGCCATGCCCTCTGCCCGTACCAAGCAGCATCAACTGTGTGTGATGGGGCATGAGGGCAGAGTCTTGTCTATGCTGCCTGGCTGCCATGTCCTTGGCTGCGCTGCTCCACATGGGCACGCTGGGGGGCGACTCTCCTCCAGGGGGGCTGCTGGTGAGGAGGGGATCATGGGGGGAGGCAAGGCTGTGTCAACGGCATGTGTGCCCACAGAGAGGGCTCCAAGTGCCGCCTCTGGCACCCATGCCATAGGTTCGCCACCACTGCTATAGTGCCTGATAGATACACTCCTCTTCTTATGATACTAGATTTCTTTTTAAATGCCATATTAGGAGGAGGTACAGTAGCCTCCAACATAGTCTTTATTTGTAAGAATGCTTTTAAGACAGCTAGAAGGAATATCTACTGAATATTTATATTGTATTTGTACAGTTTATTTATATAGTTTTTCCTGCTTTTTATTTTAGCCAACTGGCTTGTCTAGGTATAGTGTATGTTTTGCCAGTGGTTTTGTTTTGACCTGGTGTACATCTTGTTTGCTTATTCTTGTGTAATATGGTGAATCTTTCTCTGAGTTTCACCAGTTGCCTGCTGTGAAGTAGATATTTTTTAATTTGGTACTCCAGAAGCGGTGAATGCTCCAACACTGGAAGTTTTTAAGAAGAGACTGGACAGCCATTTGTCCAAAATGGTATAGGGTTTCCTGCCTGAGCAGGGGGTTGGACTAGATGACCTCCAAGGTCACTTCCATCATCATCATCATCATCATCATCATTATTATTATTATTATTATTATTTTGTGACATTACTTATTTCTGAACTTCATAAATTTGAAGTAGATGTTGGAGCATAAAATTAAGTGCAAACTAGTAGTTTTGCATGGTAAAACTCAGATGCCATAATCTGTTATCCATAAACTCACAAATACTTTATATTTCCTTTAATCTTACTAGTGCGTCTTTTTAAAAAATGATATTTTGTGACTAAGGGCACACATCATGGTAATAGTTGTGTCAGACATCCATAATATTCTTTTGAATGATATGCACTCTAGAAAGAGTGCAGAAAAGAACAACAAAGATGATTAGGGGACTGGAGGCTAAAACGGTTGTAGGAATTGAGTATGTCTAGTTTAATGAAGAAAAGGATGAGGGGGAGACATGATAGCAGTGTTCCAATATCTGAGGGGCTACCACAAAGAAGGGGAGTCAAGCTATTCTCCAAAGCACCTGAAGAAAGGACAAGACACAATGGATGGAAACTAATCAAGAAGAGAAACAACCTAGAACTAAGGAGAAATTTCCTGATGGTTAGAATAATTAATCAGTAGAATGGCTTGCCATCAGAAGTTGTGGCTGCTTCATCATTGGACAGCCACTTGTCTGAAATGGTATGGGATTTCCTGCTTGAGCAGGGGGGTTGGACTAGAAGACCTCCAAGGTCATATCCAATTCTGTTATTCTGTTTTTCTGTTATTCTGTAAATTGCAAATGTGCTCACTAGTTACAAATATTAAAGACCTCTGAAGTGTTAAAGACTAAGGTATGTTTTCTGAATTTCTTCCTTTATTATTGTGGTAGATTTTACCCATAAACAAAGGTTCCCTCTTCATAGATGAAAATTACTCTGCAGTTTACTCGCCAGAGGCGTTTGAAAAAAATGAGAGTGAATTGTCCAGTGATGAGAACCAGCATGTAGGGAAATATATTATGAAACACAATTCCAAGATTGTCTGTGAGATGACAGACCCCGCAGGAAATATTTTCAAGGTAAAATGGAAAGGTTAATGTTCAAATTATTCAATGCTTTTTTCTATGTAATTTGTTTTTAAAATTCTTAATGGATTAACTATAAATTGTGATGTATTTAAAAATGCTTAACTTGAATATCATATAAATAAAAAAAAATTTCTTAACGATACATTTTGCTCCTGGATAATCAAAGGTTTATTTCCCCTAGGCCATAATTGATATTTCATCAATTTACAAATCTGAAATATAGGCCAAAATTACCTGAGGTAATCTCATTCCAGAAATTTCAGAACTGATATATTGTACTCTGCACTTGCAGCTTTATTTGGTTTAAAAATATAATAATTTTAGTATTATCTATTAGCACTGGAGGAATATTGGAAAGAAACCACTTTTTGCATCTTCTCCCACCCAGCAACAGCCAGTTACCGGTATTTCTCTGCCAGTCTAATTGTGAGCCAGTTCTAGCAACTAATTCCACATCGGATACAAAATTGACTGATTAGGGCTTCATCTCATTCTCCAACTCTTATTAACTTTCTCCTCTGGATAGTTAGTTCCTCGCTATCCCAATGAAGCAAGGCTTGGATGTTACTACAGCAGACTGATGAGTCACCTTGTGGGTTATTTGGCCCTAATAAATTCTCAATTTTAGGCCGAATGGTACTTTAGCCATTGATTGATGATGAAGGCTCAGTCTTTGATGCTTTTTGCCTTTGTATTTGTTGTCATGCTTATGCTTAGTTTTTGGGCAAATTCTTTTTTTTTACCATGTTATTGCTGACATTTCCCATCTTGGTCATAGAAGCAGGGAGGAGAGAGAATGGTTGCAAAGTCTGGAATCAAATAGTAACCAATCCAAATATTACATGATTGTGGTAGCTCTGTATGTTTATATGAAAGATGCTTCTATGTGCACTCTACCAAAGTAGGCAGAAGGATAATTAAGAAAAAGCATTTCTTTTGTTTTGCAGGTCATGGCTGATGGTAACATATCTACATTCATTCCTGCCATTGAAATTGAAAGCAAAGTAACTGAACCCACAGAAATTCAGACTCCTGTAATATATGGGGAACATGCACCCAGGTATGTTGTGCATAAATATTGTGGGTTTAATTGTATTTGTCAAGTAATTTGTATGGAATTTTTTGTTTAATTTGCTTTGCATAATTGAACTGATCTCATTTGTGGGAACGATGACCTAGATTCTTCATTGTCCATGCGGATGGCTCAGGAACTGAACTCCTCCGCAGCAAAGATACAGAAGAATATCTGGCCATGGCATATGGTCATCCCACTATAACTGTTCTTCAGGAGGCAATACAAGAATGCCCAGGTAAGAATGCACCATTTCACAGAGATATCTCTTGTTTCTCTGAGCCTGACTTCAGAATTAGATTTTTGCGTGTTAATAAGGAAACGTTAAAGCAAGGTTCCTCCGAATAGAGACAGATGCAGTTTTGTTGTAAATGTATATATGAATTTAAGAAAAATTCATATGCCAGTTTCAAAATTAGTTTTAGCCTTTACATGATTTTCAAATATTGTTTTTTTTTTAATATCACAGAAATATATCCTCTGGTTACATGGCTGTATGAGAATTTTGAAAATTTTCTGAGATGTAATTATAGATACTTGATACTCTTCTATGAGCCTTCTATTTGTTTTAGGAAATGTTCAGAAAAATAAAAATATAAATATTTTTGTACGATATGTATTCTGTAACATAGACCAAGGCTTTTCAACTAGTGGCATGCGACCACCTGGCTGGTGGTACGTGGCGTCGCCTTCCTCCCCCCTGCTCCACTCCTTCCCAGCTCACTTGTTTATGGAAAACATGCTGCTTGGCGGCAGCCTGCACGAACCCTACCGAATGTGCCGTGCAGGAGGGCGTGTGAAGAGCGCAGGTGCAGAGCAAGGCCCCGCCCTCCCCAGGGACTCATTGTGCAGCAACCGGATTGACTTCTTGTGCACGCAGATCAGCGGGATCCATATCGCCCTTCCCCTCTCTCTTCTTACTTCACAACAAGTGCTAGTCTGATAGGAGACAGAGCTGTCCACTCCCTCGGCAGGAAGGGGTTTGACACCGCAGGAAGGGGTTTGAGACCGCTTGCGTCGCGGCCCTGAGCAGCAACATAACAACCGTCCCTCCTTCTTTTCCCCCTCACTCTCTCTCTCTCTCTGTTGTGGCCTCACTCTTCCATCTTCTTTTTCTTCCCCCACCGCAAGCTTGCGATACCCCTCAGGGCCCTCATGTTGCCTCCTGGAGGACTCAGCTGTTCGGCGGCCAGAAGTCGGAGCCGCTCAGCTGTTGGTCGGGATGCCCATGGAGCCAACACCCACGCTGCCAGGTAGAACGGTGCTGACTGCTGGTCTCCTTTGCCACCCCACACGTCGTCCTCAATCCCTCCCCCCGCCTGTTCACATCGAGCCCGCGGGGGCTTGACAGGGAGAGAGGGAGGGAAGGAGAAAGGGACTCCTCCTCCTCTCCTAAGGTTCAAACATGATCAGCTTCCCAAGGGTGCCACAATCCTCACGAAAGCAAGGAGAAGCAAAGGGGGCGAGAAAGCTCGTGGCGGGCTCGAAGGAGCACCTGTCAGCATCAGAGACAAGAAACTCCCCCACAAATCCAGGGAAAGGGGTAAAGAAAAGGAGCCCCCTTTGGGAGGAAACCGCCACCTTCTTCTGCTTGGCTTTGTGCTCTCCTGTTTCTCAGCAGCCGGGCTGCCAAGCCTCTACTGGCTGGAACTCCACGTTTGTTTTGTTTTTTACGTCTCGCCTTCATGTGTTTCTGCCATACCTCCTGGGTACTCCCGGGAACAGGGCGGATGGAAGAAAGCTTGGCTAGGCTAGGCAAAGAAAAGCCACAGAGCAGCAAGCTAAGATCGCAGGTAGGCCGGGGAAGGGGGTGAAGAAGAGGAAGGGGATTGGGAGAGAGAAAACACCAAGCTTGTACTCGCCTCTCCCAAGGACCTCCTGCGCCACCTCACAGGAACACCTGGATTCAGATTTACACCGTAAAAGTTTTTCTCGTGCAGAGGAGAGAGAAAAAACAATTGCGGAACACTTGGGAATCTCTTGCAAGGCACCATGTACCTTGGTGCTTATTTCCTAACGCCTTCCCCCCGTGTTTTCTGCTCTACCCCGAATTTGCCTCCCTTCCACTCTCCTTATGCAGTCATCTATCGTCTTAATACAGCCCTAAGTCTGTCTCGCTTTCAACACCCCCTAAAATTCTTCATTCAAGCAGGCTTCCAGAGTTTGGCTGGCAGGATGCAGGTAACCCCTCCCCCCTGCAGCCTCCCATGGCACCACGCTGTTCCACATCCTGCACCTCCATGTCTCAAGCCTCTGTGGCACAGAACCGCTGGCGTGGTCTCCAATGGTCGCTGACGTGCTCCCCGCCACGGGTGACCATGCAAGCCCTGGCAACTGCTGCAGCCGAAGAAGCGGGCGGCTGGGAGGCCGCCGTGACGCTGACCTCCTGCGCCCGTCAGCTGGCGACCTCCGGACTTGCGCCCATCAGCTGGAACATCCGGCAACGCTTTGGCCGGTGAGGGTGAAGGGGAAGCCGCCGCAGCGCCAAACTCCTGCGACCGTCAGCTGGTGACCCCCCAAACTTTCGCTTGTCAGCTGGGAGGTCTGGCAACGGAGCCAGCTGGCGTGGAGGGCAATGGGGAGGCGGTGGCTCGGCGGGGAGGTTCCTGCCTGCCCACAAATGTCAGGCCACGGGGCTCGACACAGAGTCGATGCTCCGACATAACCTCCCTCCTCGGATGAGAAAGAAGGAATCTCTCCCACCCGTGTCCCTTCCCCCCCCTCAAGCGACAACAGGAGGTTGCAGACAACTAAGTCAGCTGGTGAAGGAAGCCCTGGAAGGGCCGGTCCAGGCTGTCTGGTTGCAATGCTGGATGTCTTTTGCTCCTCCTAAAAGGCAGTGGCAAGAAAAAGAAGTTGTTCAAAGTTCAAGCTAGCTACTGGATGCCTATTCGCACTTTTTTTTCCTTTTTTTTTTTTTTTTTTTGAGTATTTGTCTGCCAACCCGCCCCATCTGTAAAAGAAAAAGTCTTCTGTCCAAGCATAACTTTAAAGGATTTTAAGGATCTTTGAGAGGGAGAGAGAAATAGAGAGGGAGAGAAAGAGGGAAATAGAAATAGAGAGAGAGGGAGAGAGAGAAAGAGGAGAGGGAGAAAGAGGGAGAGAGAAAGAGGGAGTCAAAGGGAGAGAGAGAGAAAGAGAAGGAGGGAGAGGGAGAGAGAAAGAGGGAGAGAGAAAGGGAGACAGTGAGAGAGAGAAAGAAAGGGAGACAGAGGGAGAGAGAAAGAGACAGGGAGGGAGAAAGAAATGGAGAGAAGGAAAGAGAAAGGGAGAGAGAGAAAGAGAGGGAGAGAGAGAAAGAAAGAGGGAGAGAGATTAAATTAGTAACATGGTTGTTCAGTGAATCTGGTTTCCCCACTAACTTTGCTTGTCACAAGGTTGCAAAAAGTGATCACATAACCCTGGAACAATGTGACCACCATAAATAAGAATCATCTGAATGTAAATCACATGACCCTGAGGATGCGGCAATGGTCATAAGTGTGAAAAATGGTCATAAGTCACTTTTTCAATGCCGTTGTAACTTTGAACAGTCACTAAGCAAAATGTTGTAAGTTGAGGACTACCTGTACTTTATCACTTTTTTCCAATTTTTTTGGTCATCAAGATTTTGACACCTTGCTAGGTGACTGGTGGTACTCGAAGGTTGCCATATTCTAAAAGAGGTACAATCGGTGAAAAGGTTGAAAAGCACTGACATAGACTACTGTCCAAGTAGTTTTAATACCAGATAGTATTAAATTCTAATTTATAACTATTCTTTTCCATATTATGTATTTTTTAAGAGTGGTACTGAAAAACTACAAGAGTTTCTGAACTGGGAGGACTTATTAACCTTGATTTTAAAACATATTTATATTATTTATCTCTGTTAATAAGGACAAATAGCCTCATACAAATATTCCACACTACAAGCAGCTATTCGTATATTATTGTATTCCCAAATTTTCTCTCATCTTTCAAAACAGGAGTCTTAAGCATTACTGTTCTTTGCCCTTTGACTGAAGTATCTCAATGGATAATGAAAAAAGACTCTGACACCATTGTTCCTTACAATCTCCAGTCCAGGGATTGGGAAAACTTTCCTCCTGTGGAGGTAGGTAGTTTTCACATCCTTCAATATTTGACTATGATATGACATTTTTGATCTGTTAAGTGACACTATATTATCTTTTCACTTTTTGTCTTTGAAGCCCTGTACCCTGCTGCATCTGTAGGGATGTGTCTATGTCAAAATCTGCACGATAGCGAATATGATATTTGGATCTGAGCTTTTCACCTTTTGTGTATATGTTGACATCACATGCAGGCACAAAACGGATAAGGATTGTACTATGACGTCCCACTCTGTCATCTTGTACATTGTCACCGCATCCATGGATGCTTCTGCCCATTTCATTGGCATCTGGCCGGCTAAGAAGCTTAATAAGTTAAATAAACAAAGTATTAGTTTTTGACAAATTCAGAATTTTAATCACATTATAATTTACAAGAACAAAGAAAAAGCCATAGGAATATACAGTGATTTGTGCTAATTTTCTTTCGTTCCATTAGTAATGCAATTGCATATAAGACTGTGAAGAAGAAAACAAGAAGAGCTCAGTCCTTATTACTAGTGATGTCTAATTCTTTATTTATCTCCCAAGAACCATTCTTTACATTTATTCAAACTACATAGAAAACACATTTTAATGTACTCACGATTACAACATCATGTAACAATTTTGGTCTCAAGAACATTACAGGTAGTCCTTGCTTATTGTTCACTGTATGCAAGTGAATAGTCACTTGTTCACTGACTGTTCAAACTTACAAGGATGCTGAAATTAGAGAACTACAACCAGTCCTCAAAGTTGTTTGCAATCATATAGACACATGAGTGCTATTTGCTATAGCTATTGATCATCATTTGCAACCTTGACAGCCAGCTTCCATCAAGCAAAGTCAGTGGGAAAATTGCAAGAAGTCACAAGTTATGGTCACATGGCATTTGCAATTTACAACCTGTGGTGCTTCACTGAACAATTGCAACTGGAACTGCCATCGGTGTAACCACATGACATCACACATAATTACTGTGCTGCTTAGCAATACATTTTCCAATTCCACTATTGCAGTAGGTGAGGACTGGTTGTAATTTTAGTTTTCTAAATGTACTTACATTGAGATATAATTCCTGTTACGTAAATAGCAAGCATTTCAGTCTCTGGCTGACATTTGATTTGATTATATGCTGTTACTGACATTTATGTAGAAGAAAGTTCAGTAGAATTACATGATAAGCACTCCTCTCCTTTTCCCCTTATCGTCTCGATTCAGAGGAAGACTCCTGGTCCTCCATTTGGAATGCATGCTTGGAAAGGCCTGTGCATTGAGTTCAAGGAATTAGCAGTTTCTCCTGCACCTATAAAAAAATGTCCAAATGTGCTCCAAATTCGTCGACTAATCCAGTATGAGCCAGTCACTGATGAATTAAGACACAAATTGCAATCTTCTGTCAAGGTAAAGTGCAAAAATAAAGTAGGTGATTAATGTATCCCTGAAAAAAAAAGTGGCTTGCTTTTGTAAGTAAGGGAAGAAACTACTGAAAAGATATTTAAACCATAACGTACATGAAAGGGCTGAAATGGTGGGAAGAGACTGCCAGATTAATGTAAGGAGCTGGAGTCAGGTGAAACAGCTTTGGTGTGTGACAATAGAGCAAATGGAAGATGGGGTGGGATTTGTACAAAATTTGTATTTAAAATATGTTCAAAACTAAAATGATTTGTGAATTTCCACCCAAACAATTTTAACGACAGACTGTTTTAATGTAGTTGAGAGCAAGTGAGACATGAAATATTAAGAAAATCAAGAAGAATGGCAGGCATAAAAAGAGAGATAATCAACGTACAGCAGATCATATTGATTGTCTCTGCTCACCCAAATAGATCTGGTGAGAGGAATATGTTTCAGGACCATGACAACTACTTTAGATATTACAAATATATGAGAGAATTAAAATCTCAAGTCTCTTTACTTCCATTTCCCTTAATAAATTTATCAACTTGAAACAATTTAAGGAATCTTGTACTGGCTTTCTCAAATAATATTATTATAAAATTCAGTCAAATTTGGCAAGGTTATTGAAATGAATATTCATTTACTTAATATTAGTTTTCGTATCTACTGTTAGTTACCCTGATAAAATATGCTTACTCAAAAGTAGCTGTCTCTGCATTCAGTGGAAATTATTCCTAGGGAACTGTACAAAGAATCAAATTAGAGATTTCAAGGCTTGGGGGAAAAAAATTTTCTCCCCCCCCATGGGAAGATTATGAAATATATTTTTAAAATATATGTAAAATAGTTAAGATGTTGAAACTTTGGTCTGTATTTATAAATCCATTTCCAAAAGAAATCAATTAACAGGAATTGATCAAGTAGCATGTCTTACTTGTCATATTGTTAGGAATACATTGACAAAATCATTAAGCAAGAAGATGAGATTGAAGATAGGGTGATTAAAGAACCAAGAACGGAACAGGAAAAGAAAAATGCTGCAGACCTTCTCAAGCTTGTTATGGTGAGAAATGTGCTTTTTTCCTTGTGACTTCTTTACAGTTCCAGTTGGGGTGAAAGTGGAAACTACATCAGGCAAGCAACATAGTGTGTCCTATAACACTACTTGCTGCCCCCAAAGTCAGATTATTGAAATTTCATGGATAAATGTTAATGGCATGATTTGGGTGAAATATTTCAAACTTGAATCAGACATTTCTGTTTCAGATGTGAAACAGATTCTTTCTTACCAATAAAGGAGAATATTTGTAGCTCATGGTTGAAATGAGGGGTCCTTCATGCTCTCTGAGCTTGGTTGTTTTCTTGCAGACATTTCATTAACCAAACTAGGTAATATCATGAGTGCAGATTATTTGTTCGATCATTAGAAAGTTTTGCAATACTTTCAATAACTGGATGCAGGTTTTCATGCCCAGTGTCAACCCAGTGTCGGTGAGCACTTTCACCTCTGAAGATACCGGCAAGAGTTGCTGGTGAAACATCAGAAGATCAAATAATTAGACGTGGCTTATTAGCTCACAAACTGAGCTAATAAGCCCATTGGACTTTCAGTCAGGTTTCTATCTTTTTCAAACAATACTTCAGAGTTTGAAGCATGGTATTTTGAGGCCAGAAATTTTTTTAACAGAATTCTTTTTTACAAGCTCACTTTCAACTATTAAAATCCTCCAAAGCCACCTCCTCATCATAAGAAAAAATTCAGCCCAGCCTCTTCTAGTGAAATGGAAGACTTTTGCTGTTGAATTTTGGCTTCTTACTCATCCTTAAATAATTTTAATTATCTAGGTTTATGCACTTATACAAAAAAAGAACAGTCATAACAATCATGTTATTGCTTGGTAGTGGTTAGCTCATTCTGAAATTGTGTGTGTGTGTGTTCTGTTCTCTTAATTTCATTTTTGTAACAAATCATAATTTATAATTTTACCCCAACCACTGAATTATGGCTTGCTTGATTCTGATTTTCTATTCTAGTTCTAAGTACATAGTACAAGGAGTAGATTTTTCTTTATTAGCCAATCATAGATTCATATTCTTTAAAAATTTTATATAAATTATGCACATATTGATGCTGGCTTTTTATAGGCATTTTTAAATTATGAGTTTCTATTCAGAGAATTGCAAATAACTTCTTTATTTCACGACAACGTTCTAAAATTACAGACGACACTAATATTTCAGAGTTTGCATCCTTCCAATTTAAGATTAAGATAGTAATATCATGATCATCATCAACAAGTAATAATAATAGCAGTTGTTCTTATAGAAATAATATTTATGTATGGTGAATACTGCGGAAGTATTCGGCTGTCATAAATGTTTCATGGGTAGAAAGGTATATCCAAAAAAACACAAAATAATGAACAAATAAAATGTTCTTATGCTTGGATAAGTGGGCATGCTTTTGTGAAACTGATACACTTTTGTAAAATAGGCTTAGTTAAATAAGTCAAAATTCAAAAGGAAATATATAATTGTTTTTATGGAAGGAGAATTATTCCTTTTAAAAGTTTTCTGTGTTTTTTTTTTAAAGCAAGTTACATAGCAATGTCATTTTTTCCCTCTTTTATATTGACCCAAATGCATTCAAGACATTGTTGTGCTCTATTTCTGTGGAGATATTATTTCTTACATAGAGAGCAATTCCACCTCCTCTTTTATTTGGTCTGTTTCTTTTAAATAATTTAAATCCCTCTAGCTGTGTGTTCTGCCTGGAGGAATGTTGTCCATGGGGTCACGATGGGTTGGACATGACTTCACAACTAACAACAACAACAGCTGTATGTTCCATTTGTGGGTTTCATCCCATCAAGTTTCCATTAATGACAACAATATCATATCTGCCCTCATTTACCTGAATTTCTAGTTCACCCTATTTATTGCTCATACTCTGTGCGTTGGTGTATAGACATTTGAGTCCTTTATGACTGACCCTGTGTTTACTTTCTACATAACCTGTGTGGTGCCTGAGTTCCCCTATTTTCTTACCTTTTGTTTGATTAGTACACTTGATGTGGCACTCACTATTAAAAGCTTGATTTTGCTTGACAGCTAGGTTGATATTCTTGTCCTCTATGGACCTCTATGTTACACGCACTGATAATCCTATAATTTTTAGATTGACGGGAACAGGAATGTTCTGTATCAATTAACTCACTGTCCCTGTTGTTTAGTTTAAATATTTCTCCAGAAAATGTGTGAATTTATTGCCAAGTAACTCAATCCGTTTCTTTGATGGATGCAAGCGGTCTCTTTTGTACACTTTTTCATTGGACCAGCTGCAAACATAGTGACTAATATAACCAAAGCCTTCCCCTTTACACCACTCCTTTAGCCACATATTGAATTCTGCTATACGCTGGCCTTTTCCATTTTGTTCCTTATACACTGGTGAAACTTCTGAAAAAGTAACCCTACAGCCTATCCTGCTATGTTCCTGCCCCAAACTCTGGAAATCATTCTTCACAGAAAGTACATCTTTTTGGGATAAAGATGATTGGGGGACTGGAGGCTAAAACATATAAGGAGCGATTGCTGGAATTGGGTATGTCTAGTTTAACGAAGAGAAGGACGAGGGGGGACATGATAGCAGTGTTCCAATATCTCAGGGGCTGCCACAAAGAAGAGGGAGTCAAGCTATTCTCCAAAGCGCCTGAAGGCAGGACAAGAAGCAACGGATGGAAACTAATCAAGGAGAGAAGCAACCTAGAACTAAGGAGAAACTTCCTGACAGTTAGAACAATTAACCAATGGAACAACCTGCCTCCAGAAGCGGTGAATGCTCCAAAACTGGAAATTTTTAAGAAGAGACTGGACAGCCATTTGTCTGAAATGATATAGGGTTTCCTGCCTGAGCAGGGGGTTGGACTCAATGACCTCCAAGGTCACTTCCAACATCATCATCATCATCATCATCATCATTATTATTACAATAGCATCCACATCACAGTCCTTGCTGGCATTCTTGACTATCTTAAAAATACGCTTCTTGTCCCTACTGGCAGTAGCACCTGGAAGACACCTGACTTCCTTCGAAACATCTGTATCCTTTCCTAAATTTACATCCCTTATAATTGAATCACCAACCAGAAGGTGGCTTCTCTTTTTGGATACCTTGCTCTTCATGCATGACTGATGTGTAATACCTGATTCACACTTTCCTCTGTCCAAAACATGTTCTTCATCTCGGACCACGATTCCCTGCTTATTTGAGTTATCATCATCACAACCTTGACCTGTCTCCTTGGTGTCCCTATTAAGGCCAGCAAGGGCACTGTATTAGTTATGCAGGGACACAGCGAAAGCTTCGTGTTTATGGTTCACAGGTCTCACCCTGCCAGATCCCATAGTTGTCCATACTGCCCTTCTCCTGCAGAATCTTTGTGGTGAAGGGGGCTGATAGCACAGCACCTCAGTAGAGCAGAAGGGCTGAACTGGACACCTAATTTCTGCCTGAAGAGCACAGATTACAGACCCTAGATAAGTAATATGTCCTAGACTAGTGATTTGTTTACACATAGGACAGTTGCAAGTTTGAAAAGAGTACTGCAAAAGACAGCTGCAAAACAAGTGTTGCACTGAACTAAGCCAATCAGAAGCTCAGCCCTTAACTCATAGCTTGCAGCTCCACCCAGCAACCCCTGGGAAGTTCAAATGCAATGGAGGTCCAACCAGAAGTTCAGCCCCTTTTCTCCTCCACACTCCCCCTTAACTCACAGCTTGCAGCTCCTCCCAGCAATCTCTAGGCAGTTCAAATGCAATGATAAACCACAATCAAATGGCTTGTATTAACAAAAAAAAGTCAATATGTAACATACCCAATTTGCACTCAAATTTTATTTAATGTCATTTTGTGCTTGGAGGTTTAGAAATCCCTTAGAAATCCTGGTTGAACATGTTCTAATGACTCTATGTCTTTATATATTGCAATCATTTAGAAGCTATAAGATAATTTTGTTATTACTTTGACCTCAAAAGCTTTTAGTCTACCTGGTATATAACTTTTTTTACAGAAAAGCCTTAAAATAACAGCTACCTTCTTATTATCTTCTCTTTTGATTATTGACATTGAGCCCCCTACAAGTGCCTTTAGTAGGAAAATATTTAATTAAATTTAAAAATTTAATTGCAAGATATTTAAAGATCTGTTCAGTTAGAGTCCCATTTTTTTGGCATCTTTTGGTAATTACTTATCTGCATATAAAAATAATACAGTAGATTTACTATCCAGATCTGTGATGGCAGGTTTGTGAGTTTTATTTATTATTTATTTATTTATCAGATTTAGAGACTGTCCACCTAACTCACAAAGCTGTATCATTGACACAAAAAATAAGTAGCAAGAAAGCTAAAACATACCCTTGTTTGGCAGACTGGAAAGTAGGATTACAACAGAAAACTGACTTGGTTTTAAAGCCTAATTGGATATAGGCATTATGAGGCAACATTTTAATAAGTGCAATCAGGTCTCTAGCAAAAGATGAGATGTACAGTTTGTCCCACAATCATTTTATATGAATAGAGTCAAGAGAACTTCTATTTATGTTTATTGCAGTCTTTTCCCAGTCTTGAAGAATCCTCAGAATTTTGCAGTAGAGGTAAGAATTTAATATTCTACGTTTTTAAATCTTCCCTTGTGGAGTTAATGATTATTCATATTTTGAATAATATTTTCCTCCATTTTGTAAGTCTTCTTCAAATTCTAATGTGTGTCATTCAAAAAGGATACAGAATTATTAACTATTATTTACAAATGGGAATCCTAGAAACCATTCAGGAAATCTTGTAAATGTTCAGGATTGAAATTTGCCGTACATTTATTAAAAATGTTGGGATGAGTGTGAGCATTTTAATTTGGCACTACAAAGTATAGAAAGTCAATTGCTTCTTTTTGGAAAATGTGTTTCATGGGTCCTAACATATTGAAAATCAGGATTTTCATAATTTGAGGGTTTTTTTGAAACCGAGAAGTATCTGAGCATTGAGTGCTGCAATCAGTATGTTTTAGAAGTTTATACCATGTATCTAAATTAACAGCAGTTGACTCTAAACTGTGTGTATGCACATACACACACCTATATGTATGTATTTTTATGTATACAATTTGCATAATTGTCTTGCAATTGTCCAGTCCAGACCTAGATAGTATCCTAAGACAAGGATTCATGTGTACTTTTGTAGACTGCCTGACAGGAAATTCTCTTCTCAGTAGTTAGAAGCCTTGGCTTCTCACTTGTTCTCGTCAAATTATATTCATAGGGTGCTTTACACCTGTCATACCAATGCTCAAACCTGTCACAATCTATTCAAGAAGCCAGCTAGATTCTAAAAGACTTCTGTTGTGACAAACAAGTGATTTGCAGTAGGGGGAAGAAGGCAGTATCTAGCAATTCTCTTTGCTTGCTTTATGTAAATGGCACCTGCATGTCATCCCTTGATTTACTGCATCAGCCATTTGCAAAAGGGTTTCCTTGCTAAATACTGTGCATGTTATCTTCATTTGCTGTCCAACTGCATTCCAGTGCAAGTGTCAGTCGGGAAGCCCTAATTTCAGTTCCAGTGTAGATTGAAAATGGCAGCTGTGAGGGTATACATTCTCAGCTTGCTCAGATTATTGAAGGAAGAGACCAGTAGAGGAAAACCCAGCAGTTCTGTGGCTCTGTCAGTTAAACCATTTGACCATATTCCCTAGGTTGAGCATTGATTTGGGTAAAGCTTAACTCACAATTCATTATGGTAGCCCAATGTTTGCATTTTACATTGCTAGTAGATAAACCTGTGACCCATTGGATCACTCTTTTGAGATATTTTCTTGTCATGTTCCTCAGTGCTTTAAAAAAAATGACAGAACTTGTAATGTACTACATTCAATTGAAAAGTTGGGATACATATAGAGATATATCTGTCTTGAACTGCATAGCACAGTCAAATATCAATACAAGAATGTTTCATAACATTTTGTATTATGTACTAAACTGTTTTATGATAATGTTTATGTCATAAAATGTTTTATAAAATTTGCTAAATTTTATTTCCACGGGAGTTATTGGCCCCAGATTTTGGATGCATTCTATAAGTTAATCCGTTTGAGGTACCTTGATTCAAAAATTGTTGCCCTATAATGCACTTTTTCTCCTAGTTAAAGGTATACGAATGAGAATTCTAGCATAATTTAGATAGCAAGAATTGAGTACTACTTAAAGATGTTCATATGGAAAATGATCAATGATTCTTATATATTCCCTGTTTGAGAAACAATGACTGCCATGTCTGGAGGCCATTGGTACTCGTATCCTAATTGGAACTTCTTTGTACAGCAAAATACCTGTGAACATATTGTTTTGTGAAGGAGCTATGACATCTTGGCACTGCCACCTTGCCACGGACATGTCGCCACAACCACTTCGGCATAGGACAAATTGCCATGGAAAACTTGCCACGGGACAATTTGACATGCACCCTCCACAGCACCTCCCTTCACATCCTGTCTGCTATTCACCCACTAGGGAGGCCTTCCCTCTGGGCCACATTTGGCGGTTCTTTTTTCCCCACAGGCCCTCATAGGAGGGTGTTCTCTGTGCCAGTCTCAGTACTGCACTGCACATAAGAGGCATGTCCCACCCATTCCTTTTTCCTCATGGGAGGATGGTATCTGTGTCAGTCTCAGTGTTGTGCTGCCCACATGCGAGAAGCATGTCCCGCCTGCCTTGGCATTGCCCATGCACAAGAAGCATATCCCACCCATTCCTTTTTTCCTGCGGGTCCTCACTGGAAGTGTGCCAGTCTCGGCATTCTGGACTTCTTGACATGCTGCGCTGGACCCTGATGGCTCCCAGGTGGGGAGAGGGGCAAGCAGGGATGGTGACAGCTGTCTGGTGACTGTTAATGACGCCTGCTTAGCCTGCCTTTTATGGGGGAGGTTCATCTCCCTTCTCCAAAGGTTTCTTTGCCTCGCTTTCCAGCACACACAGACCCACGAAGGGAGCTGCCGTGGGAGGCTCATCAAGTTATCCCACAGTGAGTTTTCCATGGTGATTTGTTCTGCGCTGAGATGGCAGTGCAAAGATGCCCCTGGTGACATGGCCATAGCAAGATGGTGGTGCTGAGATGACAGCACTGAGATGTTCCATTTCGTTTTGGAAATGGATGAGATAGATCCAACCTTATTCAGTAAAAGAATGAATGCAGACTTTAAGTGAAAAATGGCAACAAATGTAAGATTAGTTTTTGTTATTTTTTTTCCATGAATTTCCAGCTCCAGTTTCTGTACTGTATGAGGAGGCAATGATTTCACAGGTGCAAAGTTCATCACGGGAAGTATTCTCAAAACAAACGGAAGAATATTGGAAAATGATGAAGATGAGGTAAGAAAATTTGGTGCAAGAAACTTTCCCAAAAGTTATAGCAATGGTTTTCTTATTATGTATGGTTGGATATGTGTGATGGAATGTAGTGCAGAGTCGCAGGAGGGAGGATTCTTTCCTAGAGAGCAGACAGCAGAGCTTGGAATCAAGAGGGTGAAGGCGGACTCACCCCAGCAATTCACAGTGTATCTAATAGTTACGCTAGTAGTTGTTTTAGTCTGCCAAGATTTCTGTCTATAGGTGAACAAAATAAAAAAGACTACTCGGAAGTAACTTCACGTGTCATTCTTGACTGGGTCTGACATTAATCTTGCCAGACTAAAGCAACTACCTGCATAACTACTAGAGGTAGTCTGTGAATCGCTAGGGGCATCCACCTTCAGCCTCTTCCTGCTCTCTGGGAAAGCTCTCCTTCCTCCTATGACTGGACAGTATGTCTTCCACACAGTATGTCTTGTAGAGCAGAAATAAATTTAATAAAAATACAAATATTGTACTGTAGTATTTTACAAAACATGAGATTAGTGAAGGAAATCTCCAAAGATTTTTCTGCTGTTGTTACTAAACTGAACTCTCTTCTCTTGGAGATATTGGTATCTAAAACAATCAGATTACTTCAATATCATCATCATCATTCTATCCACTGTCTATCCACTGCAGGATGAAAGCCTCTTCCAAATGTTTCCAACCAATATTGTCCTGAGCTTTCTTTTGCCAATTAGGCCCGCAATACTTGCTGATGTTGTCAATCCATCTTGTTTTAGGTCTCTTTCATGGATGCTTTTTATCAAGTGGGATCTATTCTATGACTGCCTTGGTTGACCTGCCATCAGTTCTTCTTGCTATGTGACCAGCCCATTTCCATTTCAATTCTTTTACTTTCTTGATGATATTGTATAGTTTTATTTGTTCTCTAATCCATGTGCAGGTCTTTCTATTTTTCTTGTAATGCCGAGTGTGTATCTTTCCATAGCTCTTTGTGCCACTTGTAGCTTTTGTATTGATTGTAAGGTTAGTGTCCATGTTTTACTTGCATATGTTAGAGAAGGTAGCACACACTGATCAAAAACTTTTCTGTTCGGGCATAGAAGGAGTTTGTTCTTGAAAATTATGCTTAGCTTGCCAAATGCCTGCCAACCATATTTAACACACTGTTCAATTTCCTTTATTGTATCACCTTCCATTGAGATCTGTTGGCCATGGTATACATAGTGGTCTACTACATCTACTATAGCTCTTTTCCAGATATATTTTTTTCTTTCTTTGGTAAATTTATTAAACATAACCTGGCTCTTTTTCAGGTTTATTTTTAAGACAAATGGTTCTCCTGCTTTGTGCAACTCTTGCATGTGTCTTTGTAGTTCTTATTGGTCTTGTGAGAAGAGAACAACATCATCTGCAAATCTGAAGTGTTTTAAATAGACATCATTGATTTTTATTCTATCTTTTGCCCAATCTACTTTGTGAAATACTTTTTCAAACAGGCGGAGAAAAGGGTAGGTGATATTGTATCACCTTGTCATACACCTCATTCTATGTTGATTTCTACTTTAAGGTCATTACTGTAAATTGTTACCATTGTTTTTTTCATAAATTGATTGTTGTAAGTTTATGTAAGCAGTGTCTACACCTTGGTTGAGCAATGCCTTAATTATTGCTTGTTGGAATACTGAGTCAAATGCCTTTTTGTAGTCAATGAAAGCCATGCACAGAAGCATGGTGTACTCATTGTGCCTTTCAATGACTTGCTGAACAACCTGGATGTGATCCATTGTGCTGTAGTCACTTCTGAACCCTGCCTGATCCTTTGGCTGTGCATCATTTAATATTCTCAATATTCTTTTTGTTATTATCTGAAAACCTTGTAGATGGCTTGAAAGAAGGCTTATTGGGCGACAGTTCTTTAAATCATCTTGGACCCTTTCTTGTGTATAAGAATCACTTCAGCATTTTTCCATGCATTGGGTATTTTTTCTTCTCTGAGGCATTTTAAGTATAGTTTTGCTAGTATCTTGTGTAAACTGTGATCACCAGCTTTTAGCATTTCAACTGTAACACAGTCATTTCCTGAAGCTTTGAAGCAATTTTTAGAGAAACCTCCCAAGAATGAATTTCCATTGACTCCAGTGCTGTTGTCATACTCCAAAACTACTGTTTCTCTTGTGCAAAAGCAGAAAGAAATCGGGAATTATATTCTCATCTAGTTTGATCCTAAAGTATAAGTTCTTACATGGAGAGCTGTTGGAAAATTCCAAAAAAAATAGCTTTAAAAAATGTTAGATTAAAACTCTTCCTGGGTGCCCTAATCCTGATACATTTGTGAGGAATAAATATTCAACTCCAAGGTGTTGGAAAACAAAACAAGTTTTATTAAAGCTTTTTTGCAAAAGCTAGTGGAACTCTTGGTAATGGCAAATCCCAGAGTTCACACCTGAATCAATTTTTGCATAGTTTTTTGTACCCTGTCCCGTGGATCACGCCACATCCTTCCAAAGTGAGCCCAGTTGATAGGCCCACCCAGTCACATGCTTTCTGACTGCCTAGCAACCATTACAGTTACCAAACCCTCCAATTATTAGATCAAAAAGCCCCCTTTGTTCCTGTCTTATCCTCCCTCCCTTTTCTGTGGCATGATTTGTAACATCCTGCTAACTACCTTATCTACAAGGTGAACTGTTACCCAAACTGGATAATTGCAATTATAAAAGATTTATGTCTTCCCTTGTTTATCTATAAGAGTGCCTACTTTTCATCTAAAAGCTATGTGTGTAACAGACTTCATGCTTCAGTTAAACATAGCTGCACTTTGGTTCCTAGTTATACTTTAAAATACTAACTCTAGGCAGTTTTATAAAGAATAAACCTTATATAAATGAATAATATGTTATTCATAAGCTATAAGCTATTCTACAATAGTGTGCACTATTCTAAAAGTATGTTTTAAGTCAGTGTATATAGTTTCTATTCCTCCAGCTTACCATATCTCCTTTCCTAAAAATACCTTAGTTAAGTGCCTCTATATGCCTATTCCTTTAGCAGAAATGAAAAATTATAACATGTACATTTATTGTGTACCTCATACGTTGTTTAATAGATATTGAGTAAGCAAACTACCCTTTAGAGTAGGCATTAGATTTGAAGGTAACACCGTTATTTCAGGTATTGTTTGCTCTTTCATGGACAGTTTATTTTATTTAATTTCATATTTGGTGGACCCAATATTGTGATAGAGGATATCTGTTAGTGTAGCAAGATTTTCTTTTTGACTCCATCCCACTACCAGCTTTCAGAAGTTACTCTAAAAGCAGGTGTTTCCAACCTGCAGGCCATGGGCCGGTACTGGGCCGTGCTCTGTTCGGAACTGGGCCACACAAGTGGCAGATGAGTGTGCCTGTGCACACAGCTCCACTTGCATGAGCAGTGGGCACGTTCGACCACCACTCATGCAGATGGAGCTGCATTTACAGTACACAAGATAAAATATTAAATTAAGGTAAAACCATGATAAGTCACCATAATATGGTGCTATAGAGTCACAATAGGATAGATGTTATAATGGGATATCTAAGGAAGCTAACCATCTAACTCTTTTTAGTGTTGCTGAAATGAGATTATTCCAGGTGCCTTGAAATAGAAACATATGATTGGATTTTACCATATGAAATAGAGCCATATGCCATGTCATATTTAAAATAAAATGGAATGCTTTTTAAATAACTATGAATTTTATGAAATGTTTCATTTTCCTTTATGCAGCCATGACGAGTCCGTGAAGGCTTCTGTCTGGCAGAGCAAATTAGCACAGACGAGGTAATGGTGCATTAGTTTTAGGATATATTTAGAAGCCATAATCAGAAGCTGGGGGGGGGGGATTTTGAAGTCTGAAGATTTTGAATTAGACAATTATTTCTAGTATAAATTTCTGGAAACTGTTTCTCATTTAAGTACTATTAGGAATAACTCTGAGCAGAATTCCATAGTGCTCAGCAAAGATTTGGGAAGAGAGAATCAGAATTGGATGTCAACTTCAAAATAATCTCACCAATGTCCTACTTCATGCTGTTTTTTATAGGATGTTGCTGTAAACTCCTTGTAAGATAACCATGCAAGATTTCCTCTAATATCTCTAACAAATGAAAATCTACTACCTATTTGAACCAACAATTCTATTCCCCATATCCCCTTCTCCAGGATAAATATAGGAAAAATGTTTAAGTAACCTGTTTTTTTATATTGTTTCTTGTATTCTTCCTAGTATTTTCATCTCCTTTCCTTTATTTTCTATTGTGTAAATTTTATTTAACTTAATCTCACAAATTACTACTAGCTTCCCTAATGGGAGAATTCCCACTCCTTTAGCTATGTACTTAATATGGTATTTCCAAGACCTCTTAAAAGTTTACATTGTAAGCAGGTTTATATTTTTATTATATTAGCATGCTCTTGGAGAGAACCAATAAAGAAGGCCTTCGTTGAGCTTGCATAACTTTTTTCTCTGTATGTGCATACACACATACACAAATGATAGCACATGTTAGTAATTTGTAATTTGTCTAGTATCAGTGACATATCAAAATAAAAACATGTATTAATGAGAGAACAGAAAGGCTTTAATTCTTCAGTTGCATCCTGGAATTCTTCTCACTCCCTGGACCTCGCTTCTCCTGCTTTCCTGTATTCTATAAAACAGAGTTGGGGAACTTTTATGATCTATGAAATGATTTTTTTCATTTAATTTTCAGTAATGTACTGCCAGAAAAAAAAGTATATCATTGCAACTGAAAATTATTTTTCTATAAGTGAGCAAGAGAATTACACATGAAAAATGAAAACAGTTTGTCAGTCCCTCAGCTTTTTGTGAATCAGTTTTTTTTTAAACTTACTGTCTTCCAGAGTGGAAGAAATAACTTCTAGAATATAAAAAGTAACTATTATATAAACAGAATAAAGTTTACAAATCTATATGCATGCATAAGGCTTATTCAGTAGTCCTTTCTCTTTATTAATTTGAGCAAAATTGAAAAAATAATAAAGATCTATAAACACATCTAAATTGTCTTTTTTAAAACCAATAGTATGCATTAATAATCACCGGAATAAATTATAAAATAATGTGAAACCATTATATTACTATATATATATTTCTGCTTTACTCCTATTTAAAAAAAAATTCAGGCAGGAAATTGAGGACGGAAAGAATTGTCTTAGGAGGATGAGGTACAAAATGATCCCTCCCTATTTCAAGTCTGAATTTGGAATGCAATTTCTTCAAAAAGAGGTGAGCAAGTTGTGGACGATGGGTCAGGTTAGATTAGTTCAAAGAAACCTTTCTGAAAAGGATTAAGTCACCAAAAGTTGGATATGACTTTTGGCGATTTAACCATTGACTTACAAAATGGTCTAGAATATCTCGAAGAGTTGTAGGCCAGCTACAACAGAAGAACTCTACTGTCAAATATTTTGGAGTTTAAAAAAATGTTACGTATTAAAAAAGTGGAGCACAAAATTGCTATCTATCCTGGTCTCCCGGGCTATGGTCTTAGATTTCAAGTAAAAGCATTTATTCTCTATTGCCTTTAAACAGCACTGGATCATTTTAGTCTTTGATTCTTATTTTAGCTTTATTTTCGCTTATATTTAAGCTAGTCTTAATGCCTTCTTATGTCTGGTGACTCCCTGTTTGAGGCCATAATGGATATGTATGAATATTCTTCATAATTTAAATAAAAATACTTCAAAACACTAGGGAAGAGGAGGAGCTGAATTATGACATTTTGTGTATATTTAATATGAAAATAAATTTTATGGTATTGATCTATGGATTTGCAGTTTTCTTAAGCACATCACAGTTTTTAGGAGAGTTTTTATCAATAAAATATGGTCAAGGACCAGCAGATAAAAAAAAGAAAATCAGACCATATTATGTAGGGCCCATTAAGTTAATCTCTTGTTTTTGTCCTTCTAAACGTATAAAACAAATCCACTACAAATACTAATAATTGACATATACAAATAAACCATTTGTTTTAGAGATTATTGTTTGTGTTCTTTATTTTGTTTTAGCAGTGTTTTTGTCAGAAAGTGCATTTCATCGTTTTGTTCTTTTCTCCCCTTAAAGTTTCCAGATGTTGAAATTGTCTCAGGAATGCTCCCTCCTTTTCCAGACAGAGAAACAAAGGAACCGTTGTTGGATACATTTATAGAGTCTTCTGAAAATGAAGCTGCTAGAGAGAGAGCAAGTAATACTGCATTTACTGCATTTATTGGGTGCTGGAAACTTTGAAGGTGGTAACACTACTGTATAACAAATGCTTGAAAAGTAATATGGAAAGAGACCAGTAATTCATACTGACAGAAAAGAGAATGGGAAAAAAATGCTTTTAGGCTATTGCAGATGTATTTTACAGAATTGTGGGACTGAAAAACAAACATGATGATGATGACGATGACGACAATGTTGTTCATTCAGTGGTATGGACACTATCTTTTGGCAATTCTATGGGCAGATCTCGCCAGATCTTCTTATCTTGCACTACTACTTCTATGCTCTGGCTGGTGTCAGGTTTGATGGCATCCAACCACCATGTTTTTTTGGTGGCCTGGTTTCCTTTTACCTCTAACTCTTCCAAACAGAATTGTTTTCCCCTGTGAATTCTCCCTCATGACATGACCAAAATAAGTAAAATGCAGTTTTGTAATTTTTCCTTCCAGTGACATATTTGCTGTTATGCGCTCCAGTACTTGCTTGTTAGTCACCTTTACTATCCAAGGAATATGCAGGAGCTTTCTCTATTATTACAATTCAAATGAATCAATTTTCTTCTTGTCTTGCTTTGTTAATGTCCAACTTTCAAAATCATGAAAGTTGTGAAAGCTCTGGGGAATAGGTACTATGGGGAATACAATAGAATGGATTATCCTACATTTGCTTGCCAGGCTGATGTCCTTACTTTTCCATATTATGTTCATCACTGCTGTGTGACCTGATGCAACCCGACATATTATTTCTGGGACACATTCACTGCTTTGAGTAATCTGTGACCCTAGTAAAGTGAATTTTTCCACATAGTCTGTCTCTTCAATGTCAGTTTCTATTTTGATGTTTCCAGTGGTCATGAACTTGGTCTTTTTGATGTTCAGAAAATGACCAAAATTCTCACTTTCTTCTTTGATTTTCTTGATCAAATGTTCCAGATCTTCTTTGGTTTCTGAAATGAGAGTTGTATCGTCAGAATATCAAAGAATTTTGATATTTCCACCTCCAATCTTTATCCCGATTTTTGATTCTTTAAACTGTAGGTCAGTGGTGGCAAACCTATGGCACGGGTGCCAGAGGTGGCACTCAGAGCCCTCTCTATGGGCACGTACACTGTCGCCCCAGTCCTAGGCCTTCAGCTGGGTTTTATAAAACCTTTTCGTTTTAGGCCTCCGCCGCCTTGTATAAAAAAAAAAGGTTCAATCAATCAGTCAATTTCAACTTCTCGTGGGAAAAAAAAAGATCTTGCAAAGTTGGAATTGATTGATTGAACTTTTTAATCCCACCCAGTCTGCTGTTACCACCGCAGCCACATCCACCCACTGGGCCACACCCACCCGGCACCCGATGATGGGTAAGTGGGCTTTGCTTTGCAGTTTGGGCACTTGGTCTCTAAAAGGTTCGCCATCACTGCTCTAGGTTCTTCGCAGTCATTTTGGCATACAGATTGAATAAGAAAGGGGAGAGAATGCAACCTTGTCACATTCTTTTCTCTATCTTAAACCAATCAGTGTCTCCATATGGTATTCGCAAAATGGCTTCTTGATTTAACCAACTTGACCAGATGTGCTGGTACCCCCTGGTCTTGTAGGGCTCTCCATAGCTTCTCATGATCAACACAATTGAAGGCTTTTTTGTAGTCAATGAAGCAAATGTAAATAATATTTTACACAGTGTTGTCAGCAATAAATATAAATTATTATTTTTTTATTTCAATGTCCAGAACTTTGTAACCTCCAATGAGAAAATACAGAACTCTTAAAAAATTTGGTTATTTCACACACAAAAAAATGTCCTAATTTACAGTCTGTGGAGATTCTCAATCATCCAGGTATGTCCCAATGGTGCTTTTCCAAAAGGCAACTGGATTTTTTTTTTTTTTGGTTTTTTTCTTTGAAAATGTTTCACTTCTCATCTAAGAAGCTTATTCAGTTCAATTTTTCAATTCTAATTTATATTTTTAAAAAAACCACAAAGAAACCATAGGTGGTATTTAGGAGTGGCATAAGTATAGCATCTTGGACATTAAATTGCTAGCTAATTGCTAATATCGTTAATCGTTAATCAAGAATTCAGTTTCTTTAGAATTTTTTTTAATAACATTTGGTAAGGAAGCTAAAGTGGATGTGCAGATGGTCAGATGGTCAGACTTCTTTCTCCCTGGTAGCTTTTCATCTACTTATAATTAGCTATTTATTAATTGATTTGATTTATATGGCCACATCTCTCAGCCACTCTGGTTGGCTAATAGCACAATAAATAATGCAGAATAAATAGATCACAAAAAAATTGGTTGATCCTAAAATTCATAATTTTGGTCGGTTTTTCCTGAGCTTAGAAACTAGGTTACTCTGGTGCAAAGCTTCTCTGCACACTAATATCTGCAAAGGCCTGGTGAAAACCTTGTAGCATATGTCTATCAGATTCAGAGTGGCTTCTATGCTACCAGTTTTTATTTAGAAAAGCTGACTACTTGTATACATTAAGTATACTTTAAAAAAAAAACACATGATAGAGAGAAATATCCGCAATAGTTTCTGTGTTTTCACTTTTTCTCTCCTGCTATTTATTTTAAATTCTGCAGTGAATAAGGGCAGTAAGATTAATTGGATGCTTTCCTCTTAAAAATCGCATTGTTCTAACTGATTGGTTACCACGAAAATAGATTATGAATTTTCTTCATAAAACTTAACAAACCATATTCCTTGAATGTCCTTTGAAGCATGTTTCTTGCAATTGTTAAATCTTTCACCTGTCAGACCCATCAATACCTGCTGCGGCTAGCAGTCCTGCTCCCACAATCCTGTTCCCTGGATTACTGGAACCATCAACGTGGAAAGTTTGAGTTACACAGCAATGAAATCACTTGCCTTTTTACAGTTAAGATGGCACAAAACTCAAAGAATTTTTCTTGCGTATTGTGCCTTCAAGTAGACAAGAAATTTTAAAGACATAGATAAGCCAACAGTTCTTTAAAATAATTTAATTTTTTGTCATTCACATTTCATTTTGTCCCTCTTTTTCCACCTTTTATTTAAGGATTCTATTCCACCATTTCTTTGTTATTAGTGTTACTCTTGTCCCCTGGTAAGTTGCCCTGTGGTGAGTTGTCCCATGACAAGTTGGCCACTGCAAGTTAGCTGCAGTGAGTTGGCCGTGGCAAGTTGTCGTAGTGGCTGATTTGATTGTGCTGTTGCTGCCATAGGGGAGGGATAGGGGTTTTTTAAATGGATTTTTATTATATGGTGCATTTTGAAAATTTTGTAAGCCACCCAGATTCACCTCTGGTTGAATTGGGCAGATATAAATTAGCTTAATAAATAAATAGCAAAATAGAAATGCTCAGATGAATTTATATTTATGTTTTAGGAGCCAGAGATGACTTGCTCAGACGTAAGCATTCCAAAGAACTGCCCCCAAACACCATTTCTTCCTCAATCTATGCTGAAACCTATCCATCCCATTTTACAAACGGTAAACCATTCCAAAGGACTCTTTGAAAAAAGCAATTATTAATAGAACTTTATAACATGTTAAAACATCTTCTGTATACATTTATAGCTAGTTAGTTGATCCCCACTTAATAATATTGGTAAGTTGCATATATCTTATGTGTTCTACATGTAGCATATTTTGTTGTCAACAGCTATTTTCTTGAGTACAAAAAATATTTATTCTGACACATTAAGCTTTCTTTGGAAGAAGAGAGATCAAAGGCTCAAAATGCCATAAAAGATATATTACTATTTGTGAATATACTATAAGTATGTAACACAGTGGAGAAAATGAGATCTATAGCAAATTACAACACCCACAACATCCACTAACTATCATCAGTATTGGCAATATTTTGAGATGCCAAAGCTAGCTTTAAAAATGCAGGTAACTCACCTTTGGCCCAATAGCCTCCTTTGATCCCTAAAGTATTAAAAATGGCTTCATGCATCTATAAAACTTAATTGACTTAATTGAGATTTTTAATGTAACAAAAAAGGGAAAATATTAAATACAAGATCGAAGGGTATTTGCATTAATTCTATTTAATTTGTTACTTAAACCTCTGGCATGCCACTCAAAAGCCTTCAACCTAGAAAAATTGCATAATTCTGCAAAAATGGAACTCTAGAATAAAGTTCCTTTTTTATTCCTTTGGTATCTTAACTGGATCCTAAAATTAAAATCTATTGTTTATGTATAGGCATATTGCTTTGTTTAGAGTTTGATCTGAGATGACCAAATTGATTTTTTTTGAGCTACTGAAGTAGCAAAAAATAGAAAAATAAAAAATAGCAAAATTTTGGCACTTAATATATTTAATAGTACAGTTGGAGCCTTTGGGCTTACCTCTCCTCAGCGAAAATGGATGCCAGTCTCTTTCCCTTGAAAGAATCAACATTTCTTCCAGGTTAGTTATCAATTGGTTATCAAATAAAATTCCATATTTTTTTTACCAATCAGGTTCTTTTTCTCCTAAACGATCTCAGAGAGCATCACCACAAACAAACTTGTCTTCCTCCGTCACAAGGAACTTTGCTCTCACTGTACCCTAACCTCTTCGGCGAGTTGTAGAATTAGTCTAGGGCAGCGGTTCTCAACGTTTGTGTGACAGCGACCCCCGTCACACAAACGTTATGTGCATGCACGGCACTGCCCCCGGAGGGGAGAAAATGGCGGATCGCTGCCTTTGGCGACCCCCCAAAAATGGTCGATCGACCCCAAATGGGGTCGCGGCCCATAGGTTGAGAACCGCTGGTCTAGGGCATATGCTGTAGTTTTAAAACTCTTTTCCTTTTCAGTAGATGTAGAAGGAAGTGAAAACGGAGTCCCGATCCATCCAAAACTTCAATCACTTCTTATGGATGCTACAGGATCCCCAAGAAAAGAGAAAGTGAAATTGCCCGCTTTGATACAAAGAAACAAGCCACAATCAGTGCCAAGGCAAAAAGTAACATAATTCCTACTTTACAATTACTTTTCTCTTTAATTTTCCTTGACTTTGCCTTCATTATATTTGGAATTGTTCTGTCTCTTGAAACTTTTTTGTTCTAGTTAAGATTATCATGTTTAAAAGAGGTATGAAAGATGTCTTCTATCCAGTTCTCAAGTTTTAGAAATTTCAGCAGAGGTTTCAATGCAATCAGTTGAGCTTTCCTACTGGTGCAGTGCAGTGATTATAGTATTGTACTGGGACAAATTCCCACATCCCAGTTGGAGTTTGCTAGTTGAATCAGAAAATTCCTTTTCCTCAACTCAACCTATCTCAAAGTGATGTTAACGTGAGGATCACATGAACACCACTTTTGAGTTGTTTAGAGGAAAGGTAGACTATAAGAAATAAATGCTGTATAATGATTATTTTCCTCCTAAAACAGCCCACTCCAGAGAAGTACCTTATTGGCACTTACTCAATACCAGCATTGTTGGGCTTAAAATCCAATAGATGGAATTCAGAGGGGTATTTTCACAACAGATGGGTAGAAGATTGAATGTTGAACTTGATCCAAGAACATATCCTACCTGGAATTAATGACTAGTTCAACCATTGGTTAAGAGATGGCATATTAATCAAAGAGCCAATGAGATGTGCTTGATCCTATTTTTTAAAAAATTATTTTATTGTTTTCTTAACATAGTAACCTTAATATTTGGTAAACAGTGTGTTGTCTGGGTTTATATTTAAAAACAATCAATAACAATTCATTTCTATAATTCCTTAATCCACATAGTAGCTTTCCTTGATTTTCTCTTCTTCCAGTAATATTCTCTTTTACCAATCTTAAATTAGTACATTTCTTAGTATTTTGATAGATAAAAATTGAATATAAACATTTTTCTAGTATTTATACAAGTAACTACAACATCAGTATAAGGCTTCTTTTCTAATTAAACATCTTAATTACCTCATCGTAGATCCTGTTTTCAAAGTTCTTATTTAGATTTATTTTCCCATCAATGTTCAAGACATTCTTATCTGTTAAGATTTTATCAGAGTTAATTACACTTAAGTATCTAAGTCTTTTTCCTCATACAAGTCATCCCAACAGTTTTACATTTCTCATATCTTAAAAAGAGAGAGAAAAAAGGAAGGAAATACTATGCCACTTAAAAAACGTATCCCTTTTAAGCTAAAATACATTTATATCATTACACTTAAGTATATAAAACATTTCCCTCATATTAACCATCCCAACATTTTTATATTCTCATATCATAAAAAATACTATGTTATTTGAAGGGCCCATCCCTCTTAAACTAAAATTCATTTATATTCAGAATTTTTCTATTTCTTTAACCTTATTCAAACAATTGTTTAATCTTTAGATATTCCATCTGATAAATCCCATCGTCTGATTTCTTGATTCTAACTTTAGCCTTTTTTTGCCAAACCTCTTTCCTAATCAGTATACTCTGCTAAACCAAAAAGTCTTCCTGTAGTCTTGTAGATGTTGTTGTAAGTGCAAGAGACAAGTCAAGTAAAGTGTTTTTGTAGGAAGGTTTTGCCCATTTGTATTCATTGAAATTTTCTTTCCTTCTTTCTCTCTTAATTTCTTTTATCATTTTTTGTCTCTCAAGTTCTCATAGTTCTCCTGACAGTTCTATAATCCATTTTGTAGAATCTTTTTTCTTGTCCTCACTTATTTTGCAATCTTGAAGTATAAGTTATCTTTTCCATGTCCAATATTTCCTGCAAGTTTTTCTCTGCCTGGGTTAAGTCATAATTCCTTCCATTGATGTTCCATCTTTAAATCTTTTTATTTTGGTTTATATTCAGTTGTCTGATTTATCTGATCCCTCTCTATTTTTATTTTCTGAAAGTTTTTTTTTTTGTTGTGAGGTTAAATTAAAAATGCGTTCATTTATATTTTCAAAGTTGTTTTTAATTTCCTCGTTGTTTAAAATCATTGTCATTTGAATTAGTTACAACATGGCATACATTTCCTCCTGGAAAGTATTTGTTTTTTCCTGATATGTTCTTTCTGCAGATGTTCCATGATAGCCAAAAATCAAAGTTTTCCTTTTTCTGCAAACAGCTTTAGAGTCACAGTTCAATAAGTATTTATAGTCCAGGAAGGTCAATTTTTTTTCCTAAGGTTTATGATTCTCGCTTTGTCGGTATCCAAAATGTTTTCTTTTCTTTGTTGCAGTTGTTCTCTGTTTGGTTAGGACATTGAAGGTCAAAGAAACAAGTTATCTTTTTATGGGCTTCCTGCCAATTCCTGTATCAAAGCGACTACAGTTGTATATTTTCATCCACCTATATGTCAGCACCAATTCATTTTTCAGTTTTCAAAACAAGAAATTACTTTCTTCTGTTTTCATCAATAGTGTTTTGATAAGAAAATCTTAACTATTTCCACCAATTCCAAACTTATCCAGATTTTAGTCTTATATTCATTTTATTTCAATATATTTCTATCCCCCATAAAAGTTTAATTTGCCTGTCTGTGAGAGGGTGGGCAAAAGTCCCCCTCCTCACTTTCGGAGGAGTTTTGCTTCTTGGTTATTTTTTTTCTCCAGGAAATCAATTATCAAATAGAACAGAGAGAATAAATATTCTTACCCAGTTCCAAGCACATTGTTTACGATCCAGCTTAAAATAGTGCTTTTGGGCTTTGGCTGTTTGTAGCTTGGGCTAGACTCTGGAGTGAAGCTAGCCTTTCTCCTGCTGGTTTCTGGAGGGCTTTTCCCACACTGATCAGATCGTCCGCCATCTCTCTGTGGTCGATGGGAACCTCTCCTTCTTCTTTGCCTCTCTGGGGCGACTTTAGGCCCATTTAGGGTCCCCTAACAGGAAGAATTCAGCCGTAGGGTGCAGAGCCGCGCGATCTCTTGGCTGCTGCACTACTGCGCAAAATTGGAAGCCTTGAGATGTGCATGATCCTAAATTATTCTGAATTTATCTAATTTATCTTTTGGGGGGGGAATCTAGAAAAGCTGCTGTCATAGAATGTCACAAAAAAGCATACAGGGTCATCCCTCTACCATTGTATACTCCTTTCCTTCCTTATCAGGATATCAGTTATGACTTAAAGGTTACAGAAGTAGAATAGCAACTCAAGTACCTAAGAGTACTGGATTCCTGCCACAAATCACCACCACAAGTAGCTGTTTTTTCCCCCAGCTGTCACTAAACAATAGCCAAAGGGATTGGAGCAAATTGACAACAGTGTACCATAATCCTCTCTGTCTCCTAGAATGCTTGTAGCTTGGTTTTGGGGCCTGCCTTAGATGGATTAGAAGGAGGGGACTTTTCGTCCCTCCCTCTGAGCTGCTTATATAGTGAGTACAAAATGAGTTTTGCCCCTCTTGTTCACAAGGACAGAAGAAGCTAGGATTGGGAACAAAGGAATTAATTTCAAATCTTTGCTACCTTGTGAACATCGCCTTCTGCTGTTGAATGGCTTCTGCCTATTTTCTTGATAAGTGGTCCAATGATAACCAACCATAGCTTATCATTTAGTAAATCCTGTCCATCTGATTGTGTAAGACTAAAATAGGCTTGATGGCAGCTGAAAGTAAGAGAAGTACAATCCAACATTATGGAATAATACTCAATATGCTCTGAGTGTCCAAGGAGTGTGCAGTATAATTTTACTGAAACAAAAATAAAACCCTTAGCAAAAAGTATATTGCAAATTTCTGTTTCTCATCCAGGAACTTACTGAAGGTTAAATAGATTTCCATGCCTTAAGTTCAAATCCATACTACAGAACATAAATATTGCACATTTGTGTACATGTTGAATTATTCACAAGACTGATTTCACATACCATATTTTCTAGCCTATAAGATGACTTTCTAAAGCGTGGAAATCGGTGTTGAAGTCGGGGGTTGTCTTATAAGCTGAGTCATCTTATACGCCGGAAATTACGGTAGTTTCCGGCAGAAAAGATGACTTTCTAGGCATGGAAATCGGCGCTGAAGTCGGGGGTCGTCTTATACACTGGGTCGCCTTATATGCCGGAAAATACGGTAGGCTAATCCACTTACAATTCAAGGTATATTATGTTCCAATTTGACAAAAATGATTATTTTATATTTAGCCTATTGTGACTTCTGAATACAAATCTTCCTTTCAGAATTGAAGTATCAATAGCTGTGAATTGGTAGAATATCAATCTATAAATGCCCTTTTATTCTTATCAATAGATATATGGATTAAAAGTTTTGATCTGTCTATCCATCCTAAATAATCTCTCTCGTTTGTGAAGAATGTAGATCTTGTTTCTGGCAAAGTCCGCACATGCTCTGTCACAGCACCTTCCCAGAAAATGTCAGGATTCCTTCTTATCCCACCGAAGGTGACATTTGGCATTCTTAAGGAGGGCTGCATTTATTCAACCACAGTGGTTTTGAAGAATGTTGGAATGGATTTCTGCAGGTTTGTATATATTACTAGCAAGTTTTGTATCTGCCAAAGGATAATACATCAAAATATTTTGCTTTTTGGCTGTTTGGAGATATGCCACGGAACTGTTTGTAGATAACAGATTCTTTTCTATATCAATGATGTCAGAGTGGTACATTGTTCAAGGAGAGAGAATTTCATCAGTAATAACAATTTTCAAAATAGAAGCATGCAGTAGCCTTGTTCTTCTATAAGTCATGCATGTAGTTTGTATAACTCAGATGGCACTTTTTAGAGCAAAACATTACAATGGTAAACCTTTTGCCTTCAAGTATTTATCCAAAAGGTGAAATGCCTACCTAATCTCCCTTCTGTCCCCATTGCTGCAGTGTTAGCATTTAGCAACTTTGAGTAGAACTGCCAAGGATACACCAACTTCTGAGGTCTAAGGTTCTGTTAGAATAACATGGAGTGAAGGTGAAATGGCAGTGGTGAATCTTATCCGGGATGATAATGAAGATTCTTCTAGGGAGGAGATAAAGATTTTTCTGGACTGGTGCAATAAAAATAACCTGGTTTTGAATGTTAATAAAACAAAGGAGATCATTGTAGATTTTAGGAAGAGCCTGCGTAGTCATACTCCACTTTGTATCAAAGCTGCAGCTGTGAAGGTGATCAATAGTATTAAGTACCTGAGGTGCAGATAACTAACAATCTGACTTGGTCTCTTCATATGTTATCTTTAATGAAGTGTGCAAAGCAGCAATTGCATTTCTTGCATCAGATGAGGAGAGCACATCTTTCTCCTTCTGTCCTGGCCACTTTTAACAGAGGCACAATTGAGAATGTTCTAACAAACTGCATCATTGTTGTTTGGTTTGGTGGTAGGTCCATACAGAGAGTGGTAAGGACAGCTGAGAAGATTATAGGACGCTTGCTTCCCATTATTCAGGATACTGCTTATAAGTTTTACATGCTTAGAGCTCAAAGAATTGTTAGAGACCCCACACACTCACTTCATGATCTGTTTCTGCTGCTCCCCTCTGGGAGGAGGTTTCAAAGTATTTCTAGCAGGACTACTAGATTAACAGCTTTGTTCTTTATGCCATCTGTCTTGTAAATTGACAGGATTCTTTCCCCCCCCTGCCATGTATACAGTACATTTGAACTAGACTATGATGTTTGTCTGTTTCATATGTGTGTGGGGGGGTATATGCATAATGGTATATTTTGAGGACTGAATGCAATGAAATTTCATTTTAATGTATGCTGATTAGTGTACATTTAAAGTGACAACAATGTTTTTATTCTATTCTATTCTGAAGGTGCAAGTCACCTATAATAATTGAAACTATACTTTGCAATGGCATGAGACAGAATTTCATTTCTGATGGCTTTTTTCAGCAGAACAATCTTTTGATTTTAGAATAAAGGTGACACTATAATGCCCAGTATTATCTGCCCTGGCATTTAAAAAGAACAAGATAGTTATAATAGTCAAAGACCATTTAGTTCAACTACATGGCCTATGGACCCACATGGACATACCTGCTGAATGTTCCAATACCCTCACTTTTACTCAGTTTGCCTATTCAATCCAATGCAGAAAGAAATGTAGTGGATTTCAAACACAATTTTTTGGGTTCATATCCATAAAGTTGCATCTATGCTGAGAGTGAAATCTTCATTTTGGGAGGGAATTATCATGCTAGCATTGGTGATATCTTACAAGTTGTCATGTGGGAGTTTTTCTTCTTCTTCTGTCAATGTTCATCAAAATCTTATTATTCAGGAGAATCTAGTTTGGACTATAGATGAGACCACCAGCAGGAGCATGAAGGGGGCAGTTGCCTGAGATACTTCCAATCCTTGCTCTTTGGACAGATATTTTTGCCTAAAGGAAGCAGGCATGTTGTTTCTCACTGGCCCTTTCCTCCAGAAATTCTAATTACATGACAATTTCATTCCTAGGTTTGATGATAACAGACAGTATGTTTAATAGGCAAAACCACTGTATCCCACATGGCTCTTAAAGAATTACAGCCATAAAGACTAAAGATAGTTTAAAAAACTTTCCTCCTTCTGAAGAGATCTAAGTCACTGTTGGACTGGTTTTTAATAGCCCATCTGAGAAGCTTTCTCAGATGCTCTGTCCATAGTCTGGATCCAAGTTTTCTGCACAATTACATAAAAATCTTCCCATTAATCTAACTGGAATAAGAAGTTTTCAATTGATCCCTTGGCCAAGTGATGTTTGCCTTTTTACTACTTTGCCTTTTCCCTTGTGATAGAGACTACAGAGAACAGCTGGAGGATGTGAAAATTTACATAGCAGTCTCACTTTGGTCCTTTAGATACATATCCTGTTTGAGACCACTTTTATCTGTCATCAGACTGAAGAGATTAGGAGGGAGGCTGCATCTATTTTATGATGCATACAGGTTGCAGTGGGACCAGATTTCCAACCAAACATTTAGCTTTAGATGGCTTCAAATGAGACCCAGTACAAATGATCTTTCAAATACTAATGACAAGGAAGCAATATGCTGTTCCCTCATTAGAAATATCCAAGCCACACTATATAATGTCTTTATTTTAGATAAAGACGGTAGCTAGGAAATGAAAAATGTTGAATGTAGCTTTAGTAACCCATTCTAGGTGGATATTTTGAGGCTTCTTAAGCTATGAATTTAAACTTTGCCTCCATGTCCAAACTTATACTTGACACAGACTGAAAATATCTTAATAATTATGGAAGCCAACGTCTGTGTGGATCCGTTTTCCTCCATGGTCTGCTTATTTCTCTGGTCCAATACAAAACAAGAAATTAATTTTTCTATTACTTGGCAGGTTTCGGGTGAAACAACCACCACCTTCTACAGGATTGCGTGTGAACTATACCCCAGGGCCTGTAAGTTGTAGAGTGTTTAATTAATTTGGATTAATTTTCTTCTGCAGGCAGAACACTGTTCTTAAATATTGCCTATGGGCCTTTCCTCACAACTGAGTTCAAGTGCTATCCACCCATCTAGAACTGGCAGAATATTACGAGCTTCTTAGCTGATACCTGTCTAGTGTCTGTTGCCTCTGAATTGTCACTGAATAATGCTGCTCGTGATTAGTGATTAATAGAAATCAGTGCACTAAAGATTTTCCTGGGCTAATGATTAATCACAAGGGTTCTCTGCAATAGTTAAGGATTTAAAAACGACCAAGCACATCTGTACAACTACTAGCAACAAATTAATAAAGAGGCATAAAATGGATTATCTTACTTCTATGTGGGATTGACTTGATACTCCAGGTTTATTGAGATGGCCCTTCTTTTCAAATAGCAATAAAATATAAGTTCTGAAAACCCGTGGTAGAGAGAAAGCAGAATACCCATGTTTCCTTTTACTCTGCAATAGTGGAGAGGAGTGATCACATTTTTTGAGTCAGGTTTTGTTTTTTTAAACTCTTCAAAACAATTCTGAAGGGTCATGTACAAATGTGTATAACATTCAGGAGAACCTTCTCCTTCGCCGACTAAGATTATAGAAGTCGTTGGAGCAACATGAGAACGTCTGATGCAAACTGGAAAGCATCTCTTCATTTAGCCAGTAAATTGCCCCAAGAATGAGTGCTACTCTAATGAAAATGTGCCCAAGCAGCATATATATGGGTGTCAGGACAAATGGGCCGATTGCTGTATCTTAATAGAATGATGTAGTAATCTCCTTAAGATATTTCATTAAGGTATTTCATATAGTCTCCTATATGTAGTCTGTTTTATCATATAGGCTTTAATAAAACTTCATTTCTTCTAATGAACACATTTCAGCACTTTTTAAAAAATGGACTTATTCCTTTTCCTAAATATGGGAAATCCTTTAAATGCTACTTATCCACAATTCTTTAGTTTTCTTTCTGTCCAAATGCTGTATCATCAGCTTTGAGGATTATACAGTATAGTAACTGGAACAAAATTCTATGTTGAGCACACGAAGGATATATTGCCATAAAAGTGGTTTGGCACTATTCATACATAAGAAAATTACATGGGATTTAGCTTTCTTTCATTCTATGATCCAAACAAGTCATTTGTTACCACAGTTTCAGGTAGAGAAGTTTATAGTAGTAATGTTATGGTGAAAATTCAAGTCACAAATAAAACGTCTCACCAGCAAGTTTATTTAGGGGTGATGGTTAGGAGTAATTTAAAGAGGGCAAGATAGTGGGGTAGGAGACAAGAATCTAATTTTCTCCATGGTGAATTATATGATCTGTCTTTTCTAGGTGGCTGCTGGACTGCAAACTGTACTGGAAATAGAGATTTTTGCCATGGCTGTTGGAGTGGAAGGAGATGAGGGCTTGGACAAACTTTCCCATCAGATTGAAATTCACACAGAAACTGAAACACTATTTCTTCCTGTAGAAGCAAATATCTTTCAGTGTTTTTTTTTCTTTTGTTCTACATTGAATTTATATAGGATAAACTAATGGTCTTCACTTCACTGACAAGTGGCAATCTTACCTTTCTTTAAATCACTTATTTAGTATCCCACCCTTGTTATTTTTATTTATTTCCAGTGCTGTCTTTCAGAGTAAAACCTTTCCAAGGCTTTACAATATCCATCATAAACATTATGCATGTTTATTTTGTAATTGTTATAGGAGCAGTCATGCCTACCTTCTATTGTTCTCTTCAGCTGCTGGCATAATATCAAAAAAAGGTGTTTACATACAATTACATTGCTCCCATTTCTAAGAACCAGAATATCACTTCAATCTATTGTATAACAAAGTCTAAAATGTTTGGAATTTTTCAGTGTTCTATTGTTGTCCCACTAATTTACATCTCCCAGGAGATATCTGAAAGGACAAACACACATTACTGGTTTGTACAACTGAGAATAATGCAGCATTTCATTATCAGCCCCAGCACTGTCAAACACGAGTTGCTATATTAACACCGAAGGAATTATAAACAGTTTATCTGGTGTGCTCTATGACCCTGTGCCACTCTATTACATGGACAAAAATGTAAGCTAGCTGCCATAGGGACATCATTATTACTTTTTCTGCTAAACTGTGTAAGAAAGAAAGAGACTCTGGAGTCTCTTGTCTCATTGTATTATCTCAATGCTTTTTGTGTTGTCAAAATGAAAGTAGAAGTTAGTGGTTCAGGCAGCCCCTTTTTTAAAAACTGTCTTTATGCTTCATTATTAGGCTTTATTACACTCAAGGCTGGAGAAGGGGTTTAGCAAAACAATGTATCTCCTTAACTTGCTTTTTCACCAGTCTTAACAGACACCGTCTATGATGAGAGACCACCAAACTATCCCAAAGGAGGGCAGGCCTCCAACATCCAGTTGATTCCAGCAAGTCCAATCTCTCAGTTTAGAGTAATACTTCCTCACAAGCTTCCTCATTAATGTAAGCAATTGTATTTCAGTGTGGAAAGTCTGGGTTTCAAAAGGAGAGTTTATGAATGGCAATTAAGCCACTATTGGGGGGAAGAAGTAAGGAGCTTGGGATGTACTGGTGGGGAAGGGGTTAGGAAAGCTGGGGGGTCGGGGGTGGTGGTGGAGGGCAACCAAGAGACCATTTGGGTGTAAGAGACATGAATGGCATTGATGGGGACGGATCCTAAATGAGAAAATTACAAGACCAGAATATTCAAGCAACCAAATACATACCTGTTTCTAAGTATTACATATCACAATTTAAAAATGTGCACAAAACCTATTGGGACACTGTATGGTACACATTAAGAGGTGGCTTGCAGAATTCTAGGTGGACACATTTGAATGCAGTTTTGGGGTAGGTGGTACAGAAATACACTATGCTTCTTGTACTCAGGAAAAAAGAAACAGTGAAAAAAAGATTTGGCAAATTGAGATTCCTTTCCCCTGACTCTTGTGTGGCCAACTGCTTTCTGCCAGTCACCTCTGCATCCTGAATCAAGAAAATACTTGGAATATATATGTCTAGTAGTCAGAAAATGCAAATTAAAAACTACAGAAATTCATAAGTTCAAATCATATGCAAGGTTTTTTGCAGAGATGATCACTTGAAATAATTTTAGAATGATTGGATAAGCAGTGATATGCCTTTGGCATTTTTGAGGAAAATGAGACCTATAAGAGGTAGGACAGGATTTTTCTTTCTTTTAGACAGACTTTTAATTCTGTCATCAGTTTTCAGAGGACAGCAGAGGCCACAAGTGATTTCAAGCCCTCTGCTTCATTAAGTAAGAATTCTGTATTTAAGGAAATGTCAAAGGCAAAAATCTGCTTCCATAATTACTTTAACTTACTTTAAATGCACAAGGCAAATAAGATATAAATGATTATATCGACCTGCTGAATTTAGAAGGCATATGCGTTTTGTCAGTCAAGTTAGTTGTACTAGAAAGTTACATCTGAAAACTTGCTTAAAAATGTGTCCATATGCTTATATAATTTTTTATGTTTGTTTTGCAGAGCAGACCTGGATTAATTTTTTCTAATGACAGTCCTGCAGTGTCTAACATTCTTAATATGCCAAGAATGTTAAATCGATGTTTTAATGAAATTGTTTTTAACCTAATATTTATGTAATGTATATAAATTGGTATTGTAAACAATTGTGAGCATGTCATCTTAATAATATGAACATGTAGCAATAAATAAGAAAAATTCTGCACTACAGTAAATCTCTTGGTTTGAATTTATGAAAATTTAACAGAAAGGGTGTGTAAACAAATTGCTACTCCCCTTGCTGAGGTGAAAAAGCACAAAGAGCTTGTGCAACATCTCTAATATCTTGAGAACATCACTAGCATTCATCAAAATCAGCTAATTTTGATGCTAGCGTAGAATTGATAACCCATTAATACTTATTTTGAAATTCTGCCAATGTGCCCTCCCTAGAAAAGTATGAAGATTTAACTGTATTCATGCTGAGCAGCTTGCTGAATTAAATTCCAGGTTAAACGAGGAAATCAGATTCCTTATTAGGCTAAATTAAATTCCCATCTAATATTATACATCTGGAGAACTAATTTTTAACTTCTGTATGCCAGCTAGAAGACTTTTGTTAGGATTGTATCACAGAGGAGCAATGATTTATGTAATTGCAAATGGCAAGCAATATGCAATTGAGGTAAAACACTTGGTCTCATATCTACCCCAAAACTAAGATCAGAAAATAATCAAATACAAACTGCTATTACTAAAATGACAAATTCATTAAATAGCAAAAATAAGACTGAAAAGCAAGTACAAATGAAATCTTCTCAAACTGCGAAGACAGATCTATTCTCAGACCAGGCCAAAATGCTATATTATGTGAAGCATGTCATTCGTAGCCACATCAAATCTGAACAAATACTGTTTTTTTCTTTTCTTTTTTCCAAAGGTGGGGAAAACAATGTTGTTGTAAAACAGAGTAAAAAAATTCATCCATGCAGCAAGAGGGCAGAGAGCTCTATCTGCATGATTTGTCATTATAACGAGTGGGATGAGAGTCAATGTGGGGTCCTGGGATAGGAGGTGGCTTTTTAAAGAAGAGCTAAAGCAGCAGGTCAGAAGATGTTGTAGCAGTCAAAAGCAGGGAACACATGAAGGGGATAGTCCTCTTACAACCCATCTCAAAACCCGTGGATAAAAACTCAGCATGTTTTTTCTCTGGTTCCCTCATCCTCTCCCAAGCCCTTGAAAGTCACTCCCCCTCAGTAGCTGGAAGCATGCATCACAGTGTTCTCAGATAGCAACAAATCCTCCAGCAAACTGCCTCATAGCATTGCAAGAATCATCTTCTGTTTCTTCTTTCTCTTCCTCTTTTTCTCCTCAAATCGGTCAGTAGCATCAGCAAAAAAAGTCACTTCATCCCTGGCTTCAATTTCTCTTTTTAGGAACTGAAGACCGGCCATATTAAATCCCAGAACATCCTAAAGGTACAGCATAAATACAAATAAATAGTGAAGTTTAAGAAAAGACCAGGAAAACCATTAAAGCATCATCTACTTAGTTCCATACCCACTTGCTACTATTTCAGTGCTCAATTGTCTAATGATCCTGACACCCACTTTAAGACTGTAAGATAATGGCAATATTATCCTATTGCTTCAGATGGGGTTCAAAACGGGAGGGGCGGGGAAATCAGAGCAGCTTGCTGTAAGTATCAGCTTATCAAGCAAATCTTCCCCTTTGTTTCAAATACCAGCAAGCTTTAATCCTGCCCTTTCACTACTTGACAAAGCAAGCTACGGGAACTTCTGTCATCCTATTCCATCCATATTCCTAGCATAAGAAAAGAAGGAATGAGACATGAGCTGGAGCTGAGAACATGCTCCTAACTGATAATGCAGATGATATTCAGTGAGATATTCACTTGCTGCCCCTTCCACGATAACGGACAAGGAACTGCAGAGCTTGGGAGATCAGACCAGAATTCTAAACCAGCACTTTTTAAACATGAAAAATATTGTGCCACTACACACTTACTTTCACTTGACCGACTCTGGAAATGGTGGTTTTTTTCAGGTTCTCCATCACCTGAACAAGAAGCTGATTGCTTGTAATCTGCCCAAAGTGTATCCTAGGAGGAAGAACAAATACAGGAAAACTAAGATATTGATACTGTTTGTTGTTCTAAAGTCCTGGAACATCTAGAGCAGGGCTTTTCAACCTTTTCACCCATTGTACCACTTTTAGGATATGGCAACATCCAAGTATCACCAGTTGCCTAGCAAGGTGTCAAAAATTTGATGACCCCCCCCTAAAAAGAGGAAAAAAGTGATAAGGTACAGGTAGTCCTCGACTTACAACCGTTCGCTTAGTGACTGTTTGAAGTTACAATGGCACTGAAAAAAGTGCCCCCCAAACCACAGCCAAGCAAGACACCTGCCTGCCCGCCCAGCGGCGCTCTTCCTCCTGTCTGAGGTTTTCATTGTTGTGAGCATTTCTGTTGAGCATTGGCAGTGAGGGTGAGGTGGGGGTGTTTGGTTTTTATTCCCCCCATCTGCTAGGTGGTTGCAGCAGGTTTTGGTCACTTCACATGACCCTGGGACACTGACTGTCATAAATATGAATCAGTTGCCAAGCATCTGAATGTAAATCACAACATTCCAGCTGATCGGTGCTTCTTCGGGGCTCAGCAGAAGCCCCAGGATCAGCGCTGAGCTCCAGCTGGAGCCTGGCACTGATCCTGGTGCTTCCACTGAGCCCTGACATCCCCAAAGAAGCGCTGATACTGGCACTTCTCCTGAGCCCTGACAGTCCTGCAGCTCCAGCCATCTCTCACTCAGGCTTGTGCGGTGCTGCCATCAGTTCAGCTCATTCCCCTTCCCCGCTACCACTTTTCTAGGATGGTCGCGTACCACCTGCCAGGAGCCAATGTACCACAGGTGGTACCCGTACCACTGGTTGAAAAGCCCTGATCTAGAGAAAGCCAACCTCAAACAAGATTTGTCACTAGCTATTGACATAAAATAAGGAATGTGCATGCTGAATAGGGTGGCCTATAGAACAAATGTTCAATATTGCCAGGCTTTATTGCCAGTTTTACCAGCCTTCGACAATTACAAGATACCAAAGAATGTGAAGTAACGGACAAAGGGACTGGAAAAACTGATATCCAACTTAGATGAAATGTTCATTGCCTAGACTAGAGATTGATTGTATTGGTGTATGTTTTTAAATCAACAAAAATGATGTCGTAGTGACTAAACAAGAACTGCTAAGCTGTGCACAAAAATTGAGCTATTGTAAATGTTTTATAGATGGCATATGACATCAGTAAGATTAGTGAAAATGTTTAAAAATGTATCAAATAATTTATTTATTTATTTTTATTTTTAAAATTTATAAGCCGCCCCACTCCCAAAGGACTCTGGGTGGCTAACAATAAAAAAAACACATAAAACATAACAAAACAACAATACAAAAACAATCATCCAGGGGTAAGGTTTTATAAACCCCAGGCCTACCGGAAAAGCCAGGTCTTAAGTAGCTTACGGAAGACCAACAGGGTGGGAGCGGTCCTAATCTCCGGGGGGAGCTGATTCCAAAGCGTGGGCGCCATCATAGAGAAGGCCCTCCTCCGCGGCCCCGCCAAATGGCACTGCTTGGCCGACGGGGCCTGAAGGAGGCCCAGCCTGTGGGATCTAACCAGATGTAGGGAACTATGAGGTAGTAGGCGCAAATAGCCTGGCCCTGAGCCATATAGGGCTTTAAAGGTAACGACCAACACCTTGAATTGGACCCGGAGACCAATAGGCAAGCAGTGCAGCTCACGGAGGATAGGTGTAACGTGGGTGTATCGAGGAGCACCCACTATCACTCGCGCGGCTGCATTCTGGACCAACTGTAGTCTCCAAATACTTTTCAAGGGTAGCCCCATGTAGAGCGCAGTGCAGTAGTCCAAATTGTTGGAAATGTAAACAAAAACCAGGTGCTTACTACCATACCTGGTGGGTATGTCCTAGTGCATGTATGCTGACTCAGGAATTCTGGAAGTTGAAGTCCATAAGTCATAAAAGAGCCGAGGTTGCCTACCCCTGTCCTAGCGCAAAGAAATTTTGGTTTAAGATTCATTTATGGCTGGAAAAGATGACTAAAATACACATAGAATTTAAACCAGAACTGTTTTTATTGGGAATACTAGGACTTAATTATGGAAAAGAGAATGAATATTTAATATTACACATATTGACAGCTGCGAGAATAGCATTTGCCCAATTTTGGAAAAATGAAAATTTACCATCTGACCAGATTATAATTACAAAAATTTTAGAATGTGCAGAAATGGATAGATTAACCTTAGAGATTAAAGAGAAAGAAGATTCAGTTTATTTTAAAACATGGGAAAAATTCTATCAATGGTTAGCAATATGATCTAGCGAGAAAGGATTGTGAAGTCTATTAGGATGAATGATGTTTATTGACTAGTATTTTTATGATTATGGTTATTATTGATTATAGTTATTTATCATTATATTAATTACTGTTATTTAATATTTGTATCCGGACGACAGTCTGCTTGCTAAAGCGTGGAATTATTGTTGGGGGCAACCCCATTTTTGTACCTACCCTAATGCCACTCCTGAACCCTACCTAATACCCATATCGATCCTATCCTTTCCTTATCCTTGTAAAACTTAATAAAATACTTTAAAAAAAATTGGGCTATTGTTTTTTTTTTATTAATTTCAAATTTGCTTTCTAAGCATGCCAGACTTTGATTAGCTTCCCCATATTAATCTAATGTAAGTTAGCCAGTCTCGGTCTTACAGAAAATAGTAATATACCTGATTTTTTAAAAAAAGAAATGAAATAACCTTCAATTTACCTGAGCAGAAACAGGAGAGCCCGGCAGAGCAATTCTACCTCTAGACCCAATTCAAAATATTGACTGAAGAGCTTCAGAAGGTCAGGCACATAGGAGAAAGGCAAAACCAAAAGGGATTCTTCCAATTCACTATGAGAGGGAGAGAGAGAAATATGGATCATCATTTCCATATCAAGCACCAAGAACGTTAAAAAAAAATCCCAACAATCTGGCAATAAAGTTTTTCTCTATCAAGGGCAGAAAAGCAGATGCTCAAGGCAAAGGGAAGGCATACTTTAAACAGTGTCCTGGCACTGTTATTGCCTCCTTTCCAAGAAACAGAATTAGGGATCACGTTGAATCAATGGTTTCAAACGGTAGGTTTGGTTCTAACTCTGATTCTGTCTTGATCCAGCTTGGTCTCCTTGTTCTCCTTACTTGATGCCAGCTAAATAATATTTAGAAGCAAATGCCTGAAGTTTTTTTCCCAAAACACTTGCCTTTCAAGTGGGCTCTGGAGAAACTTTATCCTGGGTGAAATGTGGCTTAATTTTATTTCACAGCAGAGGTAAGTAGCATACGGGTGAGCTCTAGGTCCTTAGCCATCACGGAAAAATACTAGAGGAATTGCAGTCCAAAGATATATGGAGGACTACAAGTTGCCAATCCAAATTCTAGGGCAATTTCTACCAGTGGAACCATTAATACTCACAGCCATACTTCCATAAAAAAAAGATGGCAATTTGCATAGAAATACTTGAATGAACTGGCTCTCTAGAAGTAAATTAGTTGTATTTTATGGTTCATTTAACACTCAGAAATATTATTTAGCTCCTTGCAGTGCATCTGAGAGAGACTGGAGAAGGAGAATTGCAAAATAATAATAATGTTTCTGTCTATATGCTTCCAGCGATATGCCTGCATATTACTCTGATCATTAGGACTAAGGAAAATGTATATTCTAAATCTAATTAAGACCCAGAACATATATTGTATCATGAGATTCCAAGGATATTATCATATTTGAAGGCTACATA